ACGGTAAGTAATATTGTCTACTGGCGATACAACAGACAAAAACTATAGCGGAAGTCACGGTAGGTAATATTGTCTACTGCCGATACAACAGACAAAAACTATAGCGGAAGTAACGGTAGGTAAGATTGTCTACTGCCGATACAACAGACAAAAACTATAGCGGAAGTAACGGTAGGTAATATTGTCGACTGGCGATACAACAGACAAAAACTATAGCGGAAGTAACGATAGGTAAGATTGTCTACTGCCGATACAACAGACAAAAACTATAGCGGAAGTAACGGTAGGTAATATTGTCTACTGCCGGTTACGGAAGTAACGGCAGATAAAGTGACGATAAAACAGAAAAACCAACAGCGGAAGTAACGGTAGGTAATATTGTCTACTGCCGATACAACAGACCAAAACTGTAACGGAAGTAACGGTAGGTAATATTGTCTAGCGGACAGACAAAAACTATAGCGGAAGTAACGATAGGTAATATTGTCTACTGCCGATACAACAGACAAAAACTATAGCGGAAGTAACGATAGGTAATATTGTCTACTGCCGATACAACAGACAAAAACTATAGCGGAAGTAACGGTAGGTAATATTGTCTACTGGCGATACAACAGACAAAAGCTATAGCGGAAGTAACGGCAGATAAGATTGTCTACTGACGATAAAACAGAAAAACCAACAGCGGAAGTAACGGTAGGTAATATTGTCTACTGCCGATACAACAGACCTAAACTGTTACGGAAGTAACGGTAGATAAGATTGTCTACTGACGATACGACAGACAAACCAACAGCGGAAGTAACGGTAGGTAATATTGTCTACTGCCGATACAACAGACCTAAACTGTTACGGAAGTAACGGCAGATAAGATTGTCTACTGACGATAAAACAGAAAAAACCAACAGCGGAAGTAACGGTAGGTAATATTGTCTACTGCCGATACAACAGACAAAAACTATAACGGAAGTCACGGTAGGTAAGATTGTCTACTGACGATAAAACAGAAAAACCAACAGCGGAAGTAACGGTAGGTAATATTGTCTACTGCCGATACAACAGACCTAAACTGTTACGGAAGTAACGGCAGATAAGATTGTCTACTGACGATAAAACAGAAAAACCAACAGCGGAAGTAACGGTAGGTAATATTGTCTACTGCCGATACAACAGACAAAAACTATAGCGGAAGTCACGGTAGGTAATATTATCTACTGTCGATACAACAGACCTAAACTGTTACGGAAGTAACGGTAGATAAGATTGTCTATTGACGATACAACAGACCTAAACTATTACGGAAGTAACGGCAGATAAGATTGTCTACTGTCGACACGACAGACAAACCAACAGCGGAAGTAACGGTAGGTAATATTTTCTACTGCCGATACAACAACTATAACGGAAGTCACTAAAGCTGTTACGGAAGTAACGGTAGATAAGATTGTCTATTGACGATACAACAGACCTAAACTATTACGGAAGTAACGGCAGATAAGATTGTCTACTGTCGATAAAACAGAAAAACCAACAGCGGAAGTAACGGTAAGTAATATTGTCTACTACCGATACAACAGACCTAAACTATTACGGAAGTAACGGCAGATAAGATTGTCTACTGTCGATAAAACAGAAAAACCAACAGCGGAAGTAACGGTAGGTAATATTGTCTACTGCCGATACAACAGACAAAAACTATAACGGAAGTCACGGTAGGTAAGATTGTCTAATGGCGATACAACAGACAAAAGCTATAGCGGAAGTCACGGTAGGTAAGATTGTCTACTGCCGATACAACAGACCTAAACTGTTACGGAAGTAACGGCAGATAAGATTGTCTACTGACGATACAACAGACAAACCAACAGCGGAAGTAACGGTACATAAGATTGACTACTGGCGATACAACAGACAAAAACTATAGCGGAAGTAACGGTAGGTAATATTGTCTAATGGCGATACAACAGACAAAAACTATAGTGGAAGTCACGGTAGATAAGATTGTCTACTGCCGATACAACAGACAAAAACTGTAACGGAAGTCACGGTATGTAATATTGTCTACAGCCGACAAAACAGATCACAACTGGAGCGGAAGTAACGTTCAGAAAGTGTACCACCGATACAACAGTCCAAAAACATAATGGAAATACCAATGTCAAGATGATCATAATGCAAACTCAAATTTAATAAAACTAGAGCAAAACATGAACAAAACAAACCTTTACTCAGAGACTCGTGAAAAAATACACGGAGGATAATACCAGGAATGGTTATCGTCTTCTGCTTCATCGACGACACCCGCCATGTTAACTTTGGTCAATCCAAGTTAGCAATGTCACATCCTCAAATGAGAACAAAGGTATACAACAACGGAACAAATACGCAAACTAACGAACATCAACCACGTCCAGCTTCATATAACACAGGGAAATAGAATATTTCTCAATGAGATCACTATGACCACCATGAAACTTCCTCATGATATTCATCAACTTGCATCTTTTGAACCCGAGTTTGTCCGTCAGTTGACGACGTCTTGCACGGGAATCGTGATAATGGGATTAGGCCCTTAAATATCGAATCGACTGTGACATGTAAATGCCATGAGTTGGGGATGTAGGATATTGCTATTCAGAAATGGAAAGTTCACAAAAAGGGAAATTGAAATCATCACTTTTATCATACAGCTTTGCTGAAAGCTGTCCATATTGGTTTCGTTGTTGGAAAAATCGAGATAAGCAGCTGATTTAGAGGGGTCTGTCGTGCCTTGATTTCCAATTCTGGTAGGTTTATAACGCGGACGTGATCAGTACATTTCTTGTTATTCAAAGTCCAAACGTCATCAATATATCCGCATGTGAAATTAAACGACATTGTGAGCTCTTATGGCAATCTCTTCAATAACTTCAACCTCGTATGAAAACACCCTCTTCAACATTCTTCCCACCTTTATATCTCAACTCTACATAATTTAATTGGTTTTGAGAGAGATATGTATTAAGTGATTTTTGTTCACATTTGATATACTTATATGATTGATATTCAATAGCTTTAGTTGTCAATGTATTTCATTTGAATGAAGAAAATTTTTCTTGAACATATTTGAAACATGTGAGATATTTTATTTTGAAAAAAAAGTAGAAAGACGTTTTTAACTAAATGTACATATTTTGTCTTGAACCTGAAATTTCATTCTGGCGAAATATTTGAAAAAAATTATGCATCATGTATCACTAAAATAAAATCACATTGAAATATTGTTACTGATGACTCGAAAATATATGACGTCGTTCTTTCAGTCGTGCATGTTGAAAAATGATTCATTAAGGTACTGTCGATCATGTCATGCTTTCATGTTTTTAAAACACAACATCATATTACCGTGATTTATCTGTCATAATGTTTTATTGGTCACCGCAATTTTGTTTAATGATTATATCACATTACATTTGTACAAACTATCAATAGTTATATCGCATTTACATTTTGTACAAACTGTCAATGATTATATCTCATTTACATTTTGTACAAACTGTCAATAATTATATCACATTTACATTTTATACAAACTGTCATTGATTATATCACATTTACATTTTGTACAAATTGTCAATGATTATATCACATTTACATTTTGTACAAACTGTCAATGATTATATCACATTTACATTTTGTACAAACTGTCAATGATTATATCACATTTACATTTTGTACAAACTGTCAATAATTATATCACATTTACATTTTGTACAAACTGTCAATGATTATATCACATTTTGTACAAACTGTCAATGATTATATCACATTTACATTTTGTACAAACTGTCAATAATTATATCACATTTACATTTTGTACAAACTGTCAATAATTATATCACATTTACATTTTGTACAAACTGTCAATGATTATATCACAATTACATTTTGTACAAACTGTCAATAATTATATCACATTTACATTTGTACAAATTGTCAATGGCTATATCACATTTACATTTTGTACAAAATGTCAATAATTATATCACATTTACATTTGTATATAGTGTCAATGGTTATATCACATTTACATTTTGTACACATTTACATTTTGTACAAAATGTCAATAATTATATCACATTTACATTTGTATATTGTCAATGGTTATATCACATTTACATTTTGTACAAAATGTCAATAATTATATCACATTTACATTTGTATATAGTGTCAATGGTTATATCACATTTACATTTGTACAAACTGTCAATGGTTATATCACATTTACATTTTGTACAAAATGTCAATAATTATATCACAACTGTCAACGGTTATATCACATTTACATTTTGTACAAATTGTCAATGGTTATATCACATTACATTTTGTACAGACAGTCAATGGTTATATCACATTTACATTTGTACAAAATGTCAATGGTTACATCACTTTTACATTTTGTACAAACTATCAGTAATTATATCACATTTACATTTTTACAAAATGTCAATAATTATATCACATTTTGTACAAACTGTCAATGGTTATATCACATTTACATTTTGTACAAACTATCAATGATTATATCACATTTACATTTGTACATTGTGTCAATAATTATATCACATTTACATTTTGTACATAGTGTCACGACTCATGTCAAATTTATAAACCGTCAAACAAATAAGATGGCCCAATTTACATACATTCAATGATATAACATTACTGTCCCTAATGATATGAATAGATTCACATATCACAGTATTACACCTACATTGTGACGACTGAATCTGTAATTCATATTGTCACTAATATGTCATCTTCAGTTTTTCATTTGTGTTAGGAAACGATCGGTTATTTTCACTCATGAATCCCATGGATTCTCATTAAGGGGATTCCAACATGTTCACACTATTTCATTTAACAAGCCTTATCTTTTACGAGAACATAGCAGTATACATGGTGTGGTACTGATTAACAATATTATGAATCAGGCTACATTAGATATAAATAATACAGTGTTAATTTTGATATGGCCTGTTTTTTCTATTCAGGTCTCCGACAGATGTTTTGGCGAAGGCTACATAGCCGTCGTGTGTCGCTGAACGACACGCCTGATTGTCCAACGGTGTAGTTATATCTTCAGTACTGTAAGTAAGAACTTGAGTATTTAAACATGTATTGAAACTTTACGAAGAAAAGGCAAAATCTAACAATTAACACGATGCATAGCTTAAAACGTATATGCTTTGAAATACGAAAAAAAATAAGAAAATACCACCTTGTCACAAATACCAACAGAAGCATCAGGGAAAAGAATAACCAAAATCAAACATATAAAATAATTGAATTCTAATTCAAAATGAAGTAAATCATGTGAACTTACACAATTTTCACGTCAAATTCGCCATCAAATCCGTAATGGAGGTTAGAAAACGACTTATTTGGCCACCGGATCTGAAGAAGTACATCCTATGTTAATCAGGTTTTTAATCAAGACATTTAAAATTTCAGTCAACACATCGAAATAAACTTCACTCCTCTAACTAATACCAATCTTCCAGTCTACTGAAGACATTCCTATGGTGACTCGTAAAATGACACAATGCAGTGTTAAAACTGAAATTCCCTCTTGCGAATCCACCACTCCTTTATCAAAAGCAAGATACAATATTTCTGAATTTCCCGCGATAACCTCATAAATAACATTATGATATGTGAACTTACAATCACAGATCCGTTCAGGAACACCCGTATGACCACACCCACCGATCCGGGCCCACCGTCCTCATCTGCGTACCGCCATCTATCACCTGTAAAAACCGTATATTAAACGTACGTTTATCACATAGTTTTAAAAAACAATATGAAAATACCATCATTAATACAAAATCATCATCAAAATTCAAGAAACTTGTGCAAAATATGAACAAAAGAAACCTATACAAGCAGAATCAGGAAAGACCAGATGTTCCTTAAGAATGGACATCTTTTGCTTCAACAACGAAAGCCGTCATGTACAGATTGGTCAATCCAAGTAATAAATGAGAACAAGGTATAAAACAACAGAACCAAGAGGCAAACTAACGAGCATCAAACACGTCCAGCTTCGTATCGTACAACAGAACCAAGAGGCAAACTAACGAGTCTCAAACAAGTCCAGCTTCGTATCGTACAACAGAACCAAGAGGCAAACTAACGAGCATCAAACACGTCCAGCTTCGTATCGTACAACAGAACCAAGAGGCAAACTAACGAGCATCAAACACGTCCAGCTTCGTATCGTACAACAGAACCAACAGGCAAACTAACGAGCATCAATCACGTCCAGCTTCGTACTGTACAACAGAACCAACAGACATACTAACGAGCATCAAACACGTCCAGCTTCATATTACACAACGGAACCAACAGGCAAACTAACGAGTATCAAACACGCCCAGCTTCGTATCGTACAACAGAACCAACAGGCAAACTAACGAGTATCAAACACGTCCAGCTTCATATCGTACAACAGAACCAATAGGCAAACTAACGAGCATCAAACACGTCCAGCTTCATATCACACAACGGAACCAACAGGCAAACTAACGAGTATCAAACACGTCCAGCTTCCTATCGTACAACAGAACCAACAGGCAAACTAACGAGCATCAAACACGTCCAGCTTCATATCGTACAACAGAACCAAGAGGCAAACTAACGAGTATCATATACGTCCAGCTTCGTATCGTACAACAGAACCAACAGACATACTAACGAGCATCAAACACGTCCAGCTTCATATCACACAACGGAACCAACAGGCAAACTAACGAGTATCAAACACGTCCAGCTTCCTATCGTACAACAGAACCAACAGGCAAACTAACGAGTATCAAACACGTTCAGCTTCGTATCGTACAACAGAACCAACAGGCAAACTAACGAGTATCAATCACGTCCAGCTTCGTATTGTACAACAGAACCAACAGACATACTAACGAGCATCAAACACGTCCAGCTTCATATCACACAACGGAACCACCAGGCAAACTAACGAGTATCAAACACGTCCAGCTTCGTATCGTACAACAGAACCAACAGGCAAACTAACGAGTATCAAATACGTCCAGCTTCGTATCGTACAACAGAACCAACAGGCAAACTAACGAGTATCAAACACGTCCAGCTTCGTATCGTACAACAGAACCAATAGGCAAACTAACGAGTATCAAACACGTCCAGCTTCGTATCGTACAACAGAACCAACAGGCAAACTAACGAGTATCAAACACGTCCAGCTTCATATCGTACAACAGAACCAACAGGCAAACTAACGAGTATCAAACACGCCCAGCTTCGTATCATACAACAGAACAAACAGACAAACTAACGAGTATCAAACACGTCCAGCTTCGTATCATACAACAGAACAAACAGACAAACTAACGAGTATCAAACACGTCCAGCTTCGTATCGCACAAAGAAATGGATTTTTTTTCTCAATGAAGTCGCTGTGACGATCGTTAATCTTCAACTACAATTTTCATGAATCACCTTTGAAAGCGTTTGTTACGAATTTGCCATCAGTTGACGACTTTTTGCACGAAAATCGAGATCATGGGAATAGACTTCATTGACGCATCATTGTTTCTTACTTCTTTTTTTCAATTCAAAGCAAACTACTGCAGTATGTAACATTTTATTAAAAATTGTTGTGACAGCGAGCAGAAAAAACTTGTTTTACAAAGCTCTCAATAGTGAGTATCCGTAAGAGACATGCCAATATTTAGCCATATGTGTTTCTGTGGATACCAACATACCCCTGGTAACTCGACATCCAGTAGCAATCAACTCATCAGACTTTAGAACTCTATATTCGTTCACAGCCATGACATCTTTTGGTTCAGTCTTGTAATCATAGCTGAAAACTTTTCCATTGTCCCATTCAACCCACACCTTACCTACAAACAAAACGTAGCACTCATTATATTTCTGGTGGAATGTTCTTGTTCCAACCATATTTGGTAAGTAAGACTCTGACAGAAGACGTTCAAACTGGAGGAAAAATCAGGACTAGTATTAGATAGAACATCCCAATAATATAACTTTTAGGCAAGTATTTCTTTCTCATTTTAACACATGTTGAAAGATCTGTATCCTGGTAGTGTAACAACATATTATCCCGTTGTCAGTATGATGTGCACGGTGCAGTCGGTAGTGTACTTCGGTGTGGTAGCACCAGTTCAGGCAAGTTTATTTATATATATATATACCTATTAAGATTTCTATGATGTTAACTTATAAAACAAAATGTTTATATCTTTGTAGGGTATGATGTAATATTCAAGCCTTATAAATCGTTTCAGTATCTCGTTTACAAGTCCCGAAGGGACCGTAATCGGATCACTGAATGAAAACGTTGGAAGAGAATACGACCATGTGTTCCGGAAGAGTAAGTGTTTTCTGCTTCATCGACTGCCCGATTGGGAACGCGGTAAACAAGGTCGTTACTGTATTCAATGAAGATTTATAGATATAGGAAATTCCTTCATTGGGTTTTAAACTATCAAATGCAAGTTGATATCGTAATATATATTGAATTAGAATAAATCAACTACCGTCCTTTCCATGGGAACAGACGGTCCCCATGCCCTTAGAATCTTGATCTTCGTACTTCCAGCCAGAACCACGTCGCACGCGAGTTCCAAGGGCAGGTAAGTCATCGTCATGTTCCATAGCAAGCACCAGGTCAGGTAACTCAGGCACAAAATCGTGCATAATTTCTAGAATTTCAACCTATATAGAAAGACAACATGTGGATATTTCCTCGTCAATTTCGTTAAAAATAGAAATAACACATACAGAGGATTCCATAAAGACTTCCTCAACAGTTCCGTTTTATATCATGATTAAAGTCGTTTATCAGAAATAGCATAGACAGATACTATCTCAAAATTTCCGCCTTCTTTTACACGGAACAGGGAGACATTCACACCAGTTCCAAAACAGGGAAAAATAAATAAATGCTTTTTTTTTATCTGTTACGTTTATAAACAACAAGAATATTTATAGAAACTGTATCGCTAATTTTGTCAGAAATAATGTATATGTGGATTTCTCACCAGTTTATGGAGAAAGGGTTCTAAAAAGTACGTTTCTGTTAGTGTTCTTGAAATTGTGTACAGAAATGTAGTAAAGTATGTATTATTGTTTTTATAATGAGTAATTGGTATAGAAGGTAATTAATGGTTTTCCGTTGAAGATTAGATACATTTCACAAATGACGGACTATCTACATTGCTTATTTTAACAGGCGCGTAGCATGAAAAACACATATATTGTATCATACGAGTGAAATATATATACTATTGAACGAGAAACCAATAAATTAATTTTCTTTTTATTACATTGTAAAAGGAAACCAAATAATAGAAAAATGATCTAAACATCAAGTAAGGCGGTAATAAAATATTAGTACTCCCTTTGACATAAGCTTGTTTGACATTACGTTTGACAACAACACGACTCGACATTGAATATTGTATTCTACCATTGTATGCTGTTATCTAGTTAGTATCGAACGAAAGGGGTTTTTTTTACAGCAAATAAAAGAAAATCAAAAATATACATTAGAATTACTCGATAGAAATCAACCTACGCTTACAGGGAAATTGGCGAATTGCAGCACCGCCTCGGTCTGTCAAAGGTTCAAAGTTCATGTCATCGATGGGAAAGTTATATCATCACTAGTGATATAAGACCAAGTTATAAACATTTCCGTATAACGTGAACTTAAGTTTGCATGTTCTCTTATGACACTCAGAGTGTGCTTTACTGTGTTCTTTGCGTGCATATTAACATGATAGGAACATTACCTTATCTTCTTCTGTAAAATGCTCCTGGTTTTGGTCTCTTTCAAACAGCAAACGCAGAATGAAATTATTTGGTAGGAAACCCAGACTTCTGCTAACCCCCAACAGTAGCAGAGCAGCTGATATCTAGAATGTAATATGTAATAAAACCTGGCCTTAATAAAGGGTTTCAAATATTTTCCTTCAGTGTGATTTCACTACATGTTTTTTTTTCAATTAAGCCTATCATCCTTTATTTCCAAAGTTCAAGAGAAATGATTAATACATGATATTTTTTGCTGATACAGCAACTCAAACAAGCACGACGTGGTTCATACTGCCCCACATGCAAATGAACAAAAATAAAAACAGACAAAATATGATCATCCATGACACAGAGGTATAGTGTTGTAATTAGGGTAATCATTACTGATCTGTCAATATGTCCATTGACTTTGTATCAAAGAGGATCTGGTATACATTTACCTTCTTATAATGTAATCCGTCATGATAAACTGTTGGTAAAATATCATTTGTATTTTTAAAGAGTTAAGAACATATACATGTAGATCCTCATTGTCATTTGTCTCTGTATCGGTTATATAAAACTCAGTTCTGGGAGGATTCTAAATGCTAGGACTTCGCAACAGGCAAAAAACATTATAGTATGATACGTACTTTTCTCATTGACAATCCCAAAAGTTTATCAATCGCGCTCGGAAGGTACACTTTTCCTGATGTGATTTTGGATATGGTTTCCAAGGCAGTCTGTACCAAATATTTCATATAAACAAAAATAAGAATATTATTGGAAAAATAAGCTGTTATACTTCAGTCTCCAAACTGCTTGTTTGTAAGCGGCCAATAAAAATGTGATGGAATCTGACAACGTGAAAATGTTGGTTCAAAATAGCACCATGGATGTGTTTTTATTTTGAGTCATTGACATTTTAATTTTTTTATATGAAATTCATTATATAGTTCCAATGTGATTATAAATACATTCTGAATGCACAGTTTTACGGAATAGGAATTGTAGAAAATCAATAAGACATGAAGTAGGAGACGCGCTTTGTACAGATATTCTTTAACATTGCATACCTGATCTGCATTTCCCACAGGAACACAATACACTCGGTTCCGCCGTTGCTTTAGATTTTCACAGACTGCCTTTTGATTGGAGTCCACCTTCACGATAAAAGATAATATGTTTTCAACAAGGTAGCTATCCAGTAGTGAAAAAGGACATGTATAACATTGAAATACCAAACCCATGTAGATAACAGTAACACAACATTAGTGCGATACATAGAAGACAAGGTAGTGTTATTGAATTAGCGTTTCAAACCTAAAAACAATGAATTCATTTTTTACAACCTTTTGAATGCATTATCCTATAAAATACTGAGCCGACAAACTAATTCAACTTCGACGCATTTCTGAATTGAACATAAAAATATTAACACACACACACATATATATGATACAGTTGATGTGTGATACAAATGATTGTCACTGTCATTAGTTAATATCAAATCAAAATGTGATATTTTCGATATGAAAATGTTTGGTTATGCATTTGCTCACATTCAGTTTATTTTCAATGTTAAAATTTTACAAAACATTCGTAGATCTGATTGTGTCACTGGGTATTAACTGGTCATATGTCTACATATTAAATTATAATGTGTAGATCATGTTTTCCAATGGAACTGATTTATTTATATTGACAAAGTGTTTTCTATTTTAAGTTCAAGATGTATATATTTATATAAATGAATAATAAACTCATAAAACATGTTAAACTACATTAAAAACTGATAAAATATCACAGTTATTGTTGATAAAAGACTTTATTGCATTTTTGGTACTATCATAAAGGTGTTCGCAAACGTTTACAATGAGCTTAGATGCTAGGTCATTGTTGCTCTCCGCCATCAAATCTTGTCCTGCTTTGACATGGTCAGGAGTGCCTTTCCCGTCTGATATCAACACAATCTGTGGTGATATCATCAAATGGCCCAAAGACATATGTTTACCTGGTTTAAAACAAAAACAAAACCGTGATTAACGGGGAGAAGACATTTCATTTTGCTTGCTTTTAAGAGCAGTTTTGAAGAAAATTCTCTTGATGGTTTCAGATTCCTCCAACAACAATGAAATACCAAATTCCACCACACATTTAGTATACCGGGAAAAGATATGTACAAGTATGTAAAACAAATAAACCCAAAACACACACGCATAGCGAAACAGTGAAGTTTAAACTTTCTTGATACCATCAGTTTCAAACATAAAAAAAACTAATTAACAACATGCTTTATTAGGACAGGGAACTATGTGGATACTTATATGTTCCTGAGGTAAACAATTTCTGTACGACAGACAAAAGGGTTTTATAAAACGCATTTACGCTGCATGATTTTAGAATAAACAGTTACGTAAGTTTTCTTATCATTTTCTTGTATTATTCTTCATCTAAGGTTTTGTTTTGTTTTTTCTGGAAAGGACTTAAAGATGCGCTATACAATGTTTGATGTACCATTCCCCAAGCATCCAGCTAGGGCCACCAACAATCCACCAGCTAATGGACTTCGTCCTCGCGGTCCTTGGACACGTATTTGGCCTGGATAATAAATGGAAACAACATAAAATCAACACATTAATTTCTTTCGACGGTATGAATATACACACTAATAGGAAATTACACAGTTGTAAAATTAACGGTGATTTCTTTGTGACTAAAGTTAAGCAATCAATAAAAAACAAAGCATGACAACAGTTTCAGACCTAATACTCTCTACAATCAGGTTCTTAACTCAAATTTTCAGTTAAGTCTACAATCAGGTTATTAACTTAAGTTTTCTGTTAAGGCTACAATCAAGATATTAAATAAAATTTTCAGTTTAGTCTACAATCAGGTTATTAACTAAAGTTTTCAGTTAAGTCTACGATCAGGTTCTTAACTAAAGTTTTCAGTTAAGGCTACAATCAGGTTCTTAACTAAAGTTTTCAGTTAAGTCTACAATCATGTTCTTAACTAAAGTTTTCAGTTAAGTCTACGATCAGGTTCTTAACTAAAGTTTTCAGTTAAGTTTACAATCATGTTATTAACTAAAGTTTTCAGTTAAGTCTACGATCAGGTTCTTAACTAAAGTTTTCAGTTAAGGTTCTTAACTAAAGTTTTCAGTTAAGTCTACAATCAGGTTCTTAACTAAAGTTTTCAGTTAAGTTTACAATCATGTTCTTAACTAAAGTTTTCAGTTAAGTTTACAATCATGTTCTTAACTAAAGTTTTCAGTTAAGTTTACAATCATGTTCTTAACTAAAGTTTTCAGTTAAGTCTACAATCAGTTTATTAACTAAAGTTTTCAGTTAAGTCTACGATCAGGTTCTTAACTAAAGTTTTCAGTTAAGGCTACAATCAGGTTCTTAACTAAAGTTTTCAGTTAAGTCTACGATCAGGTTATTAACTAAAGTTTTCAGTTAAGTCTACAATCAGGTTCTTAACTAAAGTTTTCAGTTAAGTCTACAATCAGGTTATTAACTAAAGTTTTCAGTTAAGTCTACAATCAGGTTCTTAACTAAAGTTTTCAGTTAAGTCTACAATCAGGTTATTAACTAAAGTTTTCAGTTAAGGCTACAATCAGGTTCTTAACTAAAGTTTTCAGTTAAGTCTACAATCAGGTTATTAACTAAAGTTTTCAGTTAAGTCTACAATCAGGTTATTAACTAAAGTTTTCAGTTAAGTCTACAATCAGGTTCTTAACTAAAGTTTTCAGTTAAGTCTACAATCAGGTTCTTAACTAAAGTTTTCAGTTAAGTATTCAATCAGGTTATTAACTAAAGTTTTCAGTTAAGTCTATAATCAGGTTCTTAACTAAAGTTTTCAGTTAAGTCTACAATCAGGTTCTTAACTAAAATTTTCAGTTAAGTTTACAATCAGGTTCTTAATTAATGTTTTCAGTTAAGTCTACAATCAGGTAGCTTTCTATAAATCTTTATAACTTAAGTTTGCTATCAATGTTTAAAACTTCAAGTTTACCATCAAGGTTTAGAACTTCAAGTTTACCATCAAGGTTTAGAACTTCAGTTTACTATTAAGGTTTAGAACGTAAGTATACTATCAATTTTAAGAGTAAAGTTTGCTATAATTTTAGAACTTCAGTTTACTATCAATGTTTATTACTACTTTAGTTTACTACTTACGAAGAATTTCCTGTACAGCATTAAAGTCGTCGGTCATGTGTATCCAAACCTTCGTTTCTGCTCCAATGGTCGTCACGGAAATGTTTCCCTCAATTTTCTTAACATTTTTTAGTGCCTCCATCCCTAATTTATAAATAACTGAAGATGATTAACTCAGTATGAATTGGTTTGTAAATATTTAAGAAAAAGAACAATAGTTTATTAGTGGTGACTGTTAATGCCGTTCATTGCCTGTTCATTCGTAACAAAACTGTTTGCATGATTGTTATTACCTTTCAATGACATACCATTTGATTTGCTGATTGCTTCAAACATCAGGCATATAATACAACTTTTACTGAACGGTACTTAGAAACACAATAATTGATATCCATAATCAAATTACCTGTGACAAAATAGCTAGCTAAGTCCATCATTTTCTCGAATGGCGCTCCCTGCATGCTAGCAGAAGTGTCTAAACACAAAACTGTGTCTGGTCCATCGTTCCTGACGAGACCGCTAACGGATCCTAGCAATAGCAATGGAAACACGAAAGGATAATACATTTTTCATTGACAGTGTAATATCGTCTTAAAGCCTTAAAGTATAAAATAGAAGTGTTTCTTAAGCCTTGCTATCAACGTCAATATTCTATCAATCGATTATTTATAATTCTACAAAAAAGTCTTTCATTTCCGTCAAAAATTAATTTAGACCAAAAAAGGTAATTAAAAAACTATAAGAATGCGTTAAGTGTGTAGAATGAAAGCCAGAGTAAATAATGATTAAACTATGTTTAATAGACTAATACCTGGTAGTTTATTTAAGTACATGTAATGTGTACGCCGAACAATATATCTCAAGTGTTTTCAACATGGCTAACCCGAAGTCTTTTACATGTAATTGCATTTTTAAAATAATCTAAAGATTCTTAAAGGAGTCGGTGTACTTTTTTCTTTGTTACCTATGACTTTTTCTGTTTCTGCATAGGTGTACCATTTTTTGAAAATGAGGTTAGCTACGAAGTTGTTTTTCTCCATATCCGCCAATTTTCCGCTGTAGTTCTCATCTATCCCTAGGAAAGAACATTCTCTTGTTTTGTATTGATGAAGACTCAATAAAATACATTACAATTGAAAGAAGAAATTTTGCAATACTGACATATATCTTTATCTACACGGTAAAATTTACTGTCGGTATAATTCACTGTCGGTATAATTTACTGTTGGTATAATTTACTGTCGGTAATATTCACTGTCGGTATAATTTACTGTTGGTAATATTCACTGTCGGCAATATTCACTGTTGGTATAATTCACTGTCGGTAATATTCACTGTCGGTATAATTTACTGTCGGTATAATTCACTGTCGGTATAATTCACTGTCGGTATAATTTACTGTCGGTATAATTCACTGTCGGTTATATTCACTGTCGGTATAATTCACTGTCGGTAATATTCACTGTTGGTATAATTCACTGTCGGTAATATTCACTGTCGGTATAATTTACTGTCGGTATAATTTACTGTCGGTAATATTCACTGTTGGTATAATTCACTGTCGGTATAATTCACTGTCGGTATAATTCACTGTCGGTAATATTCACTGTTGGTATAATTCACTGTCGGTATAATTCACTGTTGGTATAATTCACTGTTGGTATAATTCACTGTCGGTATAATTCACTGTTGGTATAATTCACTGTCGGTAATATTCACTGTCGGTATAATTGACTGTCGGTAATATTCACTGTCGGTATAATTGACTGTCGGTATAAGTTACTGTCGGTATAATTTACTGTCGGTATAATTCACTGTCGGTAATATTCACTGTTGGTATAATTCACTGTCGGTAATATTCACTGTCGGTATAATTGACTGTCGGTATAATTCACTGTCGGTATAATTTACTGTCGGTAATATTCACTGTTGGTATAATTCACTGTCGGTATAATTCACTGTCGGTATAATTCACTGTCGGTATAATTTACTGTCGGTAATATTCACTGTTGGTATAATTCACTGTCGGTATAATTTACTGTCGGTAATATTCACTGTTGGTATAATTCACTGTCGGTAATATTCACTGTTGGTATAATTCACTGTTGGTATAATTCACTGTCGGTATAATTTACTGTCGGTATAATTTACTGTCGGTAATATTCACTGTTGGTATAATTCACTGTTGGTATAATTCACTGTCGGTATAATTTACTGTCGGTATATTTATAATTCACTGTTGGTATAATTCACTGTTGGTATAATTCACTGTCGGTAAATTCACTGTTGGTATAATTCACTGTCGGTATAATTCACTGTCGGTAACTGTTGGTAAAATTCACTGTCGGTATAATTCACTGTCGGTAATATTCACTGTCGGTATAATTCACTGTCGGTAATATTCACTGTATAAATTCACTTGGTATTCACTGTAATTCACTGTCGGTAATATTCACTGTTGGTATAATTCACTGTCGGTAATATTCACTGTCGGTATAATTCACTGTCGGTAATATTCACTGTCGGTAATATTCACTGTCGGTATAATTCACTGTCGGTAATATTCACTGTTGGTATAATTCACTGTCGGTAATATTCACTGTCGGTATAATTCACTGTCGGTAATATTCACTGTCGGTATAATTCACTGTCGGTAATATTCACTGTTGGTATAATTCACTGTCGGTATAATTGACTGTCGGTAATATTCACTGTCGGTATAATTCACTGTCGGTAATATTCACTGTTGGTATAATTTACTGTTGGTATAATTCACTGTCGGTAATATTCACTGTCGGTATAATTGACTGTCGGTATAAGTTACTGTCGGTATAATTTACTGTCGGTATAATTCACTGTCGGTAATATTCACTGTTGGTAATATTCACTGTTGGTATAATTCACTGTCGGTAATATTCACTGTCGGTATAATTCACTGTCGGTATAATTTACTGTCGGTAATATTCACTGTTGGTATAATTCACTGTCGGTATAATTTACTGTCGGTAATATTCACTGTTGGTATAATTCACTGTCGGTATAATTGACTGTCGGTAATATTTACTGTCGGTATAATTCACTGTCGGTAATATTCACTGTTGGTATAATTCACTGTCGGTAATATTCACTGTCGGTATAATTCACTGTCGGTAATATTCACTGTTGGTATAATTTACTGTCGGTAATATTCACTGTCGGTATAATTCACTGTCGGTAATATTCACTGTCGGTAATATTCACTGTCGGTATAATTCACTGTCGGTAATATTCACTGTTGGTATAATTCACTGTCGGTAATATTCACTGTCGGTATAATTCACTGTCGGTAATATTCACTGTCGGTATAATTCACTGTCGGTAATATTCACTGTCGGTATAATTCACTGTCGGTATAATTCACTGTCGGTAATATTCACTGTTTGTATAATTCACTGTCGGTATAATTTACTGTCGGTAATATTCACTGTTGGTATAATTCACTGTCGGTAATATTCACTGTTGGTATAATTCACTGTTGGTATAATTCACTGTCGGTATAATTTACTGTCGGTAATATTCACTGTTGGTATAATTCACCGTCGGTATAATTCACTGTCGGTATAATTTACTGTCGGTAATATTCACTGTCGGTATAATTTACTGTCGGTATAATTCACTGTCGGTATAATTTACTGTCGGTAATATTCACTGTCGGTATAATTCACTGTCGGTAATATTCACTGTTGGTATAATTCACTGTCGGTATAATTCACTGTCGGTAATATTTACTGTCGGTATAATTTACTGCTATAATTTTGTTGAACAGTAATGTTTACTGAGATAAGGTAGGTAGGTGTAAATGTATATTTTAGATATCTACCTGTCAACACTTGGATAGCTGGATAAACACTCAACACGTTATGGTAGATTGGTATACTACATTACCGTACACCTAAACTGAAGTGATAGTATTGTATTTACCTGGCATTGTCGATGTTTGCTTTGATATCATATTCAAGACACTGAAATGAAAAGCTCACAACAATAAGTATTTTAAACGACATTTCTGAAGTAAATCCACTTAAACATATCCTGGTACCGTAGGTAAAACAAGAATATCAGACAGATCTAAAAGGACGCTAACCAATAATGACCATTTACCCATTAGTTGTATCGTACCTAGACCCGGTGCTTAAATTACGACTGCGTGCTAGTGCAAAGCTGCTTCCAGAGTCACGCTCACCATACTTGATGTTCACAGTTTCTGGGTGACTTTGCGCATCTTTTCGTGAGGAAGAAGGTATATTTGGCTGATGCCCTGATTTTAACCTGTTGTCTGTCCTATCGTCTGTTAGACGACGTTTGTAGCCACGTGCGTTAACAAGTGGTGGTAGTTCATCCGATGTATCTCCAAGCGTATTCTTCACGTGCTTTTGTTTCGTGTTTCCACCACAAGTTACATTCTGTTCAGTTTCCGTTTTATCTCTCCCTGAAGAGTGTTGTTGATCAGGAGGAACTGCCTGTCCATTGTCTAACTCAAATCTCTTTGTGGAGGGATGTCCACTTGTACGTTTCACAGAACCAGTATTATCTTCAGTTTTTGATGGTTGTTCTTGTCTTGCATGTTGTTCAGGTGTGTCTTTAATCGCGGAAAACCCTCTGAGCAGTCCATCGACTTTGCCACATAACGTATTGATGTTATTTGTAAGTCTATGTAAACTCATATCTTTTTCCTCTAGTTGTCGTAAAATGTTTTCTCCGCGAGCTGTCATTTCTGTAAACAAGCATTTTAATGAATCGTTTAACAATTGACGTAATGTATAAAACATATACAGAAAATTACTGTCTGAGTTCGCTCTATGACCTCCGTCTCCTTATAGTTGACTTACGAAATAACAACCTTACCTGAAATTTTTCTCTCGTTATCTTCATGTACAATAGCAGACCTGTGTAACATAAGAAAATATCATACAGTATAAGCGTCTTTTAATCAGATTCAAAAATGGTAAAACTTTAGCAAAATCTGCACAGAAGAATTAATTAAATGATATATTCAATGCACTGACCAAGCACAAGAAAAAAAAATACCCACGGGGAAGTAACTCTTGATAAAGATAAAATTATGGGGGTTGTTCTTTCATTGTAATTTAACAAGTTCTCCCCTACATCCATTGTATCATATTTATATGGTACCATTGTAACCATGGTGATTTCATTTAGTAGTTACAATAAATGAGTATTACTTGGTGATTGTGAAATCGACTAACTACTGATTTGAACAGGAGAATTCGATTCATAGCTTGATTATCACTTATATGCACATATTTCATGCTGCGTGTAGTTTAGCATTCTTACATTCAATTAGATTGTTTTCCTACCTTTGCCAGGATTCAAGTTTGTTCAGAAATTTCCTGTTGGATGTCTCAACATTTTCAAGTCCGTGACGGAATGTTTCCAGCTTAAAAGAATAGAGTTCGTTAATTTTTTTAAAGAAAAGATTTATGCTTGACAGTAGTAAACCTTATCAATTGGTGAGAAATGACTTACCTCCACCATACACTCCGCTACAGAGACATCTCTTCCGTTACCTGACATCCTCGTCTTGTTGACACGGTAACCTCACAGAATCATGGGATTTTCTTTTCACTTCATGAAACCAGGTTCCAATTGTTCCAAGCCTGATTAAAGATTTTCAAACACAAGTTACAGAAACGTCTCGGTAAAAACATGGATGTTGTTATTTATCATGCATACTTATACACTTCCAGTTATACGTCTATGCTATCCCGATATTCATAGCCGACTTCCAATGTTCAGCTTGACCACTTCTTTGATTCGGGAAACACCTCTAAAATCTAGCGTTGAATAACGATACGCAATAGTTTTGAAAACGAGGCAGTTCATTTTGTATACACGAACACATGATGGCGGGCAGAAATGATATCGACAGTAGTGACACAATCAGTAAAATCCTGTTTTTCTATTTCAGATTTTGCTACGGGTGTGGCAAATGTTATTCTATAACTTTAAACAAATGCGGAGTTGCAAAATAAGTGGCATTAATCGGCAACTGATTCAGTCGAGAAGCCATTTCTGTTTACCGGCGACTGTGTATTGTGGGCATGAGTTATCATATAGGACGCAAAAATTCACATGTTCAGACTGTTGATCAGCAGATCAGGATTTTCTTTTTATAATTATTAATTAACTTCTGTTATGTGCACATTTAAGCAAACAACAATTGTCATTGTTCATAAGTTGATACACTTCATATATTTTACATATATGGAATATAAAAAATAATAAGTAGGAGAAAGAATGGTTTTACCGAAATGTCGCTTCAACAAAATTAGAAAATTCTTTATTACTTCACAGCCGTAGGATCGTTGGGAACGGTTAGATTAATTTATTTTGAGTGTTAAGTTTGCATTGACACTATTGTTTGTAAAATGGTAACAATTTGAAGTTTCCATTAATCAGTGGTTAAGTTTTGAGCGACCGAGGTTTGATGGTGATGATTTTATAATTGTTGTCAGATTTTGTGTCAGAAGTGGCAGTATTTTCTCACCAGGAAAGACGTGAATAAATACCTGTTTAAATCGATATATTGATCTATGAACCAAATGTCTTATTCCTGACGAGTTTGTTTCAAGGGGAGGCAACCGTTCTCTGCATTTGATATTATGCGAATATTATTGATTGTACCAGGAAGGTTTATAATCCAGGTCAGGGCACACGGTAAACATTATACATTGAAACCAGTATGAAGAAATAAATTACAGCATCCAGTTTCTACATACCTGAAATAAATCATGTTGGTGTGATGTATCAAGCTTATAAAAGTATCACGATTTAACAGCACAGAGTTGATATAACTACAATACATAACACTAATATTTACGTGTAGCAGGATAGATATCTTAACCGGTTTACCTAGTGGTATAGACACAAATACTCCAGAAAAGTACCCTGTGGACGGTATAAAGTGAGAAACGAAAGTTAAATAACACAAACCTGTCACATCATTATATTTAGTCTTCTGACCATATTCCTTCCTAGCGCTACGTATTACGTCTATATTGATTGGGAATTTCCACCTGAGAAGGAAACTCCAATTTGCGACGATCTATTTTTAGAAACGGATGCCCCGCAGTTTATAGAGCGTGAAAAACTGTTTAACTGTTGTGGCTTGTGGTACACTTTGAAAATCTAAATAATACAGGATCTCCAATAGGGTATCGGATTTTTCTTACGTGTATTTGATTTTACATATATTTGTAAAATAGACCGATTCAGTTGACACACGGACTTAAATATATCTATATAGATTCGTTACTGACAGCATCAGTAGGTCTTAATGACGAAATATGCATTGGTATAAATTCCATTTTCTTATCACTGCTAATTGATAACACACTTTTGGCAACATTCATAGATCGTATTCGGTTTTGCTGAATGTAAATATATTGTAGCAGTCGTAAAGCGGTGTGATTATTATTGTTATCATTAATTATTTATTGTTACAATGTAATAGTTTATGTTTCATCATTTAAGGTCTTTAATGGTTCCTGTCTTTACATTGAATTTCTTCGTATCTGTGATGTTCCAGTACATCAATACTGGAAATATTTTGTGTAATCTTCAAGTGATATTAATAATACCCACCTAAAGTGTGATATTATGATGAAATCTACCGGTATGAAGTGTAGCCACGACATATTGTGAAACAATGTAGTTTTCAGCGACATCTTTATGTCTAAAATTATTGATTTGTGAATCGTTAATGTCCTGAACCGAAAGGTCTCGAACTGAATGGATTCATTGATAGCCTCAGTTGTTGTGTCTGGATTTTGAGAGCGGGGCATTTAGTGTTAAATAAGATGAGGTTATGCCGGTAAATATCATACTGATAAGTGTTTAAATGTTAAATTAAATAGTTAACTCAAGAAAAATGTCCTGCATATTGCAAAAGAAATATTATTAAATAATTTAATGCATTTTTATTTCCCCAAAATCATAGTCAAAATTGCCATTGCTTTTTTGTCGAAACAAACAAATTCAATGAATCATTGTACTTCGGTCTGTAATCGGAAGATGAATCATTAGGAATTTTTAAAACGGGTATCTATCATAAATGAATTTTGAGACATCTTATTACAAGGGACAAATATATATATATATCCGAAAAAAAACATCAAAGACATGAAGGTGAGCAGTAAGCTACCAACTTCCCACACTCCTGCAACTGACTGTTTCAAAACATTTAACAGTAAGAGGTGCAAGCTTTGTACGTAAACTCGCAACACCAATTCAATTAAATGTGAGGTCAACGGCCAAAACTAACACATCCTCCAGTCGGTATCCTGCACATTGGCAAATGTAATATACTTGATAACGTGTGCTATGTGCCATTTGCAGTATGTGGGGGAGACCGAAACTTCACTTCTATCAAACAGAAACGCCCGGATCTGCCGGTAAGACATTTCAACATGCCTTGTTATTCGTGGCATGGCATGCAGGTGGTATCCAGTGACCACTACAGGGGTTTGGATGACCAGCAACGTCTCAGTAAGGAACGACACTGGATCAACCAACTCCAAACCTGCTATTAACTCGGCATGAACGAGAGATGATCTTGCTACTACGTACAAGTCCAGTCAATAATTCCTGGCAGCCGGTGCATTTCAAGCCACCATTGAGGCAACTAACAAATATCACTCACCTCTCCGCCCCCTTTAAAAATTATCTATCTTTTTTCGAATGAACTGACCTGCTCTATTTAATGCACTTTTTGTTTTGTTACTACATCAGCTTTCCTTCCTATTTGAGATTGGCGCCGTTTATTAACTCTGGTCCGGAAGTAGAAATTTTCAGTTTTATGGGGCGACTTTTCTGTGGGCGAGTTGACGATCTGGGGACTATTTGACCATATTCAAAATTATATATCTTATATAGATTTATTTTTTGCATTTAACTAGTGGTTTTTATCAAATTACTTTTTATTGTAACTACACATACATTCAACATTTTTCACAATAATTTTCATATTTTTAATCAAACAATTCCTCATTTAGAATGTGGTCAAGATGTACCGGTAGACTATTGTCCGCAGAGTGTGACGTGCAATTGCTTTCATTGCGATCACACATAGGCTCAGTGTCTAGAGTGCAAAACATACCTAGATTTATGTAAAACATTTTTAATATTTTAATCACCATCTTACATACAACAACTTGGGATTTTCTTTAAAGGGCCTTCGGCGTCCATCGGCAGAAGGAATTATCGAGACACCTAAATTTACACCACCGCTATCGATTTAGATTTATAACTTTGTGCTTGTTTTATGTTCTATGTATGTGATGTATTTTATGCAATATTTGTGTCTTGATAAAGGGGCAGGTTGCCTCGAATATTTGACAATTCGCTTGTCCGTACTGTCGCTATTACTTCACTGACCATATATATAAGAAATAACACGAAACGGTGATAATGGGCATGACGGTTTTTGTGTCATGCATTCAAGAATAGCTATAGCATTTCAATCGCTCCATGAATTAGCTTTCAGCGAATCACAGGAGGAAAAACTGTTCTAATATATTTTAACAATAAAAATATAGGGAATGATATGCCCACCACTTTATTTCAGGTATAAAAACTACGTTTTTCCTTTACATGGTGTTGATGGCAAAATAATTCAACCATTATTGTAAAATCATTCACGTAAAGTAAAACATTAATAACGACGTTTTTAGAAAGAATGATGGATTCAAAATGCAGTTTTTGTCACCAGTACTATGTCCCAGTATATGAAGGAAACATGATGGACATGAATGTTTTAAGTTTGTGTTTCATTGTGTCCACGAGATGTTCTTGATGTGTAGATATTGATATGTATAAACGTACCACACAGCGATTCTAAAGATGCCGGTTGATGATGTTTATTACAATATTTAACTTCTGATTCATGATCCCGTAGAGAAATATGATGTTATTGGCACAATGTATGTCTAGTGGTTTCGTCGTTTTAAAACTTGTCCTCAGTCTGTAGTTGGATAGACCAAGAACTTTTCCATGGTCTGAACACGAATCAGGTAGATCTGTGACGTTTGGTATATCAGGTATTTATATTGCTACTACCTAGGGTTGGCGGATTATAATCGAAGCTATGTGTTCTACTACTATATGGGTGATAAGTGCCGTGGTGATCAGCTTTGGATGCTGTGACAGCTACCATAAACCCCACCTTTCCTATGTCACCAACAACTTCAGCTCTGTGAGAAGAATCGGTGAACACCATAAAGTAAGCGGATTTGTATATTGATGTTTGTGATATCAATTACTATTCGGAAATATAAACAAATAGTCGCTTTCATTCATTTTTTTATAGAACAAAATTATAACCAGAATTGAAAGCAATTCGTGAAGACATGGATTCGAACGCAGGAACAAAGAGCTACATTTGTAAGAATGGTCATCACCAATGACATTATGACATAGCCGAGACCTAGAAAAAGTCTGTCACATATGAATGTTTCCGCTCCAATACAAACTATAATATGATCAATGATTGAACTTAAAAGTTACATAATCTGGCTAATATGAGCCAATTTTATTGTAAAATATAAAGACTATACAGAAAACAATGTGAAATATCCAATTCAGGACAATCTTCACGTATAATATCTTCTTTCCAAAACATGGCAATTTTGTTTTCTAAATAAGTCATTGACTCAACAACATGAATGGTTATTATTATACAAAAACAGCAGTGAGAAATTATTGTCGTCGGCGGCCTTTTTAGGTATGGGTCTCGTTAAAACATTAACTGCGTGCTGATTCTGTCCGGGACGTTCTGTGTTAGGCTGCATTATTGTGGAGGTGGAAGGAAAGATTCTATTCTAAGCCCCTCGCCGTCTGGTGCCATGTATGAATCTGAACCTCCTTCCAGTGTTGGGGTAGAATGGGTCTCGTCCGCGCTGAAAGAATTCAGACTACTTGGTTAACATCAAAGCGACTGGACAAAAGGTGTTATATTATATCTCTATAATTGAAACAATTATGAACTGAAATATAACATTACCAAAATTCTTCATTTAATTACATTAACATGATTATACTGTTAATCATCTATTATCAGAAACGATCTTGATATGGTATTCACACACACACACACACACACACACACCCTCACACACACACACACACACACACACACACACACACACACACACACACACACACACACACACACACACACACACACACACACACACACACACACACACACACACACATTTATATATATATATATATATATAAACAATTAAAATTGAAATACATTCATTCACTTCATTGACTCAAACTATTTTATTCATCCAATTAGCCATACAGTTTTTAACAACACAATAGTATAACACATACCAGACTTGTACTTCGAACAATCCTTCTGACCCGAACTTGTACTCACTAAATTTTTTGTTTGGCCATCGAACCTACAGTGGACAAAATCGGCTTATTAAGGTAACAACATAAGACATAAGAGTATAGGATATATCGTCAGTAGTGCTTGTTGACCACTTTGTCTCGATGGTAAAAAAAAGCTTAGAGTAATACAATGCAGGTATGTGTCAATCGAAGTCAAAATATTGAACACCAAGCTAGAAAGATTCAGATGCTGATATAAACAAAGTGAAGCCGAAACTTCGAACGCAATCTGATATCCTGTTAAAACAGTTAGAGCCAAAATCCAAAAAAAAATCTACTCTGTCCAATGATTGTTTATTCTTAGTTTTAAGATCGAATAAATAGTCCGTTTGCAGACATTGTAGCAGTTATAGCAGACAAAAATACATACAATAACTGTTCCGTGTTGATGCACCCTGGTGACCACGCCCATCGTCCCCGGTCCTCCGTCTTCATCACCCTTACTCCAGTTATCACCTATCGCAAAACAGCTTTAGTCGTAACATTATATAATTCCAGGAACTGAGAGTTCTGGAGATATACCTCTGTTTACAGCGTGGCATTATCATTGTTTCGTCATTTCATCATAATGCAGAATTCAGAAATATACCAATATTTGATATTTTATTTCCTTCTAATTTTACTTGATTAAATTCAGAAAAAGAAATATTTAAGTTAATTCACTCAACACAAAACTAGCTTGTCACTTACCTCGTTTGACATAACAACCGGGAGCAATCATTTCGTCCCTTCTCAGAACTCTCTTTTCCGTCACGGATACGACCTCACGAATACCATCTTTGTAATTGTAACAGTTTCTGTGTGAATTGTCCCATTCCACCCAAACCATGCCTAGCATCAAATAACGAATTAAAAATGATACAATGTGACCTCAATGGATATATATATATATATATAGAAAGAGAGAAAAAATTCAACAAGACACGTTGTATATTTTCCTTAGAGTGGAGTGTAAGTAAACAACTTCTTTTTCAGTAAAGATCATACGACTGATATAATAATTCCTTTGAAAATGATAATGATAATATACAGTAAAGCATGTATACCGGTCTTTCCATGATTACAAACTGTTCCTGGACCCTTGTTGTCCTGATGGTCAGGATAGTGCCAGCCAGGACCCCGCCGTACACGTGTTCCAAGCGGCGGGAGATCAGGGTCGTGTTCTGAGGTCAGATGCTCGTCTTCTGCATCATCTAACTTTATCATTAATTCGCCAGCTATACTTACTATATCCTCCTGATAACACAAATTAGACAGGTATCTGTTACCGGTATTGTTCATAGAAACATAGCAATAGTCACTTTATAACTCATTAATGCCTACTTTCATATTATCTTCTTTATCAATCTACATCTAAACCTATATTATCGCCTTTATCATTTACATCTACTTCCATATTATCACCTAGTATATCTGCGATATGATGACGACATATTTTTATTTACATTTACTTCAATTTATACTTAAATTTTTGACGACAATTATAAACTTATTTTGGAGCAGGTTGAAGACTGATAAGGTGGCGAGCCTCTGACGAGGCACGTTTGTCTTTCTGTCCAGAGCCAAAACCAGACACTGAGCACGTATTATATTTATCCTGTAACATCTATTGAAAACTCAGACTATTGAAACTTCATATTTATGTTATATAAATGTAATATTTAGATACATATAAAGAGAGTAGCTCCGTCGTATTAATCCATATACAAATACACAGCTGTTTTATGTCTGCCGAATACAACCCAAAATGGCAGCGCTAGTAGCAGGATTAATCACTGAGGCGTATTCGGTATCTTGACATAGCGATGTTGCCATAGATAGAAATCTGTACATGTATATATATACCTACAAGTTTTATCAATTCATGCCTTTTACATATAAATAATTTAGATGAAAAGACTAACCTTGTCTTCCTGAGACTGCATGGGTAAATAATCATTCAAAAATACTTTTAATAACGCGTCAGTTTCTTCCGAACTCTTGCCCGGAACTAGTTCTAGGACTTTCTTACACAGCGAAGCCGCACGGACCTGAAATAATGATTAAGTGCCTACTTTCACGTAACACCATAAGCAGTTTACAAATGTCACGTATACAAATAGAACAAAATTAACGACAACAAAACTCTAAAATAACCATGTGTACCAATCGCAATTAATTACCTTAAAACTGTGTTTATGATGAAAGAATGACTACAATGTAAAAAATTCACTGTTATTGCTTGCGAGAAAATTATCAAGTTATTAGCTTACTGTCAGTTTGGACCAATCCACTAACCGGTCGCGTTTTATTGGACTGAACACTTTTCCTCCGGTACATTTTGAAATCTCTTCCAACGTTCTCTGAAAAAATAAATTTCCTGCTCTTGTAAATAAATCATGTTGTTTTATTATTAACTGTGGTCTTTACATTTGTTATCTTTTTGTAAAATGTAAACGAACTGAAAATATTTTGTATCATTTTGAACCTAATACAATTATGACCTTTACATCAAAGTTAGTAAAAACTGTGTTATTCTAAACATAAACAAAATTTGGACATCTATGGGACGACACATCGACAGCTCTACACTGTATAGAACTAGTTTTTTTAATATGAGTCACAGACCGATGAAAAACAAATAAGAAGCAGTTCATAAAGGTGATGTTACGTTATGCCTTTTCGGCAGTCCTTTTTACAATTCTTTGGAAGTTATGCTCACCGTGTTCGCATTTCCCACCGGTACACAATAAACAATGTTTCGTCGCTTCTTTAAATTCTTTGATACTTGTTGAAGATTTCCGTCGACCTGAAAACATGATAATAAGAACGACCTTGTTCCACCAATCAAGTAGCATTTCATGGCACACATACACTAAGGAACAATCAGAGATATATAACTACATTCCTGTTCGTGAAAAATTCTCAGTCGAGGCATTAACGCCCCATTTTCAAGATCAAAACATTCAATTGAAAAACGAAAATAGCAAAAGCTGAAGAAATAGAAATTATAATTATATGCATTGTATATATAATAAACAAATAACTTCTAGACAAATATTTTGTTTCACACGATAGTGCTTTCTAACCAATATTTATTACTTTTTGCACTATACACCATCGCCATTAAAATCTATATTGATTATAATCAGCTTTATTGCCATGTACTCATAGACTGATTGAAATAAAAATTAAACAATAGTTGAAAAAATGATGAAACCGCTTTGGACAAAGATGTACATTACCAAAACATGTTCATATGGACAGTATTCACTTTGAGTTAAATGAAAGCTTGACTTCAATAGCTTAAGAATGAACGAAGGCATTGTGACCAATACAAAATGGAATAAACTGATGAATATCGAAGGAAAATGTAGGAAAAAAATTAGAGTGCATTAAACGAAATATTTATTTCATATAACATATGTTTTCTCTTTTCTTTTTATAAATACTTTGTAATTATCTGTGTTAACAAGTTATTAATTTCAATATTCTAGACTTATTATAAATAATCGGAATTCATTTCCTTTTTGGGCTGGCTTCATTTTTTTTTATAATTATATCCTGTCGTTCATGTCAGTTTTAAAAATTGATATAAATTATACAGAAGTTCACTCAAAAAATCAGTTTCCCCATAGAGTTACCCTTGGTTTTGGATGCTTTGGATTTAAATGATGTTACCATTACCATTTTTATTTTATAAATGTATGGCTGAACTATGATATATGAAAGGTAATGTCTAGTGGTCACATAATTAAATCTTTTCATTTATCTAAACGTATTAAAGTTAACTAGGCCCGCTGTCGAATTTAAATACACTAAAAAGTGAAGACATATTTATTGAATCAGAGAGAAATGATAGAAGAGGGAGGCGAGAAAGATATCATGATGAAGTACGTGTTGCCTAGATATACAGACTACCCCCTTTCTGGTAATGTTACCAAGGGGAAGTACGTGTTGCCTACATATATAGCCTACCCCCTTTCTGGTAATGTTACCAAGGTGAAGTACGTGTTGCCTACATATATAGGCTACCCCCTTTCTGGTAATGTTACCAAGGGGAAGTACGTGTTGCCTGGATATATAGCCTACCCCCTTTCTGGTAATGTTACCAAGGGGAAGTACGTGTTGCCTACATATATAGGCTACCCCCTTTCTGGTAATGTTACCAAGGGGAAGTACGTGTTGCCTGGATATATAGCCTACCCCCTTTCTGGTAATGTTACCAAGGGGAAGCACGTGTTGCCTGGATATATAGCCTACCCCCTTTCTGGTAATGTTACCAAGGGGAAGTACGTGTTGCCTACATATATAGGCTACCCCCTTTCTGGTAATGTTACCAAGGGGAAGTACGGGTTGCCTGGATATATAGCCTACCCCCTTTCTGGTAATGTTACCAAGGGGAAGTACGTGTTGCCTACATATATAGCCTACCCCCTTTCTGGTAATGTTACCAAGGGGAAGTACGTGTTGCCTGGATATATAGTCTACCCCCTTTCTGGTAATGTTACCAAGGGGAAGTACGTGTTGCCTAGATATATAGTCTACCCCCTTTCTGGTAATGTTACCAAGGGGAAGTACGTGTTGCCTGGATATATAGCCTACCCCCTTTCTGGTAATGTTACCAAGGGGAAGTACGTGTTGCCTAGATATATAGGCTACCGCCTTTCTGGTAATGTTACCAAGGGGAAGTACGTGTTGCCTACATATATAGGCAACCCCCTTTCTGGTAATGACCTATCAACAAATAAAGAAAAGCATTGATGATTCATTACTCACTTCCATCACATTTCACCACATACAACAAAAGTGTGGGTGATCTGAACCCGATGAGACCAGACATCTGATCGATACGGGATTATACCAATCACCAAGTACAATATGTAAAATTAATAAGAAAAAAGATACCATTCCGTGGCATTTAACACTAGCAATAGTTGTGGTGAAAAGATTATTTGATCGCAATCATGATATACCTATCACCATTTGTCAAGGATTGAATTACTGATAAATGTGAGTTATTTACCCGTAAACTGGACCGCATGTCCTCTTCCTCAGCTCTCATCAGATCTGGTCCGGTCTTGATGTGATCAGGTGTACCTTTCCCGTCAGATATCAAGATGATTCTCGCGAGGATCGGAATTTCCCCAACAGAGATTACATCAGCTACGACATTAAAAAAATCTTTTAATACCATCGTACACTTTCATTTTATGGTGACAAAGCTCGTTATAGAAAAATAGATTATGTATTCAGATGCTCAGGTGTACCTACCGTTACCAAGACAACCAGCAAGGGCTACAAGTAGACCGCCTCCAATTGGGCTTCGACCTCTTGGAATCAAAGACCATATTTCTCCTGAAAACAAGTATATATCCTCATGAATCTATAAACACATATCGTAAGTTTCCTGAATTGTTTCAGGGTATTGGAAATTATCATCCCCGGATGCAATAATGTTCCAGCGACAAGCTGTTCATGGCGATCACATATTCAGATTGTTTAAATTTGGAACGTACACACACAACACCTTTAAACGCTCGCTATTTGGTTAAAACGTGCATTTTTGTCATTTCATTTTTTTCACTCTAAGTAAAAATTTGGTTTTTTTCAGATTGGACTTATGCAACACTTAATCCTTACGCAGGGTGGCTTTTACGGCACTATAATTGGATGTAAGATGGATCCACACTTTTGTGACACATCCAAAGGTTGTTACTGATATATTCTCTGTCAGATCAGAAATGTGTGACACCTGTTCAACCCCTGTAAAAACAATGTAATATTCTAGATAAACTAATATATCAAATACAAATTTATATAAGAATATATATTACAGATGAATAGTACAGACAAGGAAATTGTCAAATTTAAAATCGATCTGCTTCTTTGTCAATACACCAAAGTAAAATATTGGTAATAAATGTGATGTGATATTTAATTATCTCCCCTCGACCACAATACAAATAGGTATATAATTTCCTAAACACGATAAAATGTTAGAATACGAGTGAAATATATATTGAACATAAACTTACACCAGAATTGTCTATATATCTTGACATAAAGACTTTTTTTTTTCTTTTTTCGAACAAATGTTTTATCCTAAGAAGGAAACATACCTTCGACGTATTTCATTGCGAACGACATCATTTCCTCAAATGGTGCTCCTTCCATGCTCTGAGATATGTCTAAACACAGAACAACATCAGGGCCCTTACATCGAACAATGTGACGCTGGGAATCTTAAAAAAAACCACAACAGTTGCATTTTCAATAACAATTCGAATGAATTCTGAATATTTCATTTACATATATTGTTTTTATTGCCTCTCTTTTAATTGCTATATCAACTACCGCAGAACATGAATATCCCCATAAGTAAACGAAATCATTTTGAATCAAATCACGTGATCACGTTATTTTATATATATCTTCACCTTTGTTTTTTTCCTCTTCAGCGTATGAATGCCACTGCTGCCACACAAGATCAGCCAGGAGAGCGCCACCCTCACCTCCAACAAGACTGTCAGCACTTAAACCTGGTAAAGTGAAAATTGTGAGAACTCTACCTCGATTACTTACATATACATAGTGTATTTATTGTGCTTTCTGAGCTGACATGTTACCTGTATACTCGATAATTGTATGTTATAATGTTTTATATATTGCATTTTTTGGTACAACACACTCTATACAAAGATTGCTAAAAACGTATTTACTGTAAAGATTGTTGACACATTTAATCTTATACACACTATGCAGAAAGATCACATTTCCACGGAAAAATACTAACACACTGTACAGAATAATAGCATTTCCTGAAAAAAAAATTTACAAACACACTGTAATAATCTATCGTATTTCCTAGGAATATCACTGACACACTAAAACGGACGATCTTATTTTTTTATTTATTCTTTATTATTATATTTTTTTAACACTTGTAACATACTTTATCTACTGATAATAGTTCCAGATACTACATTACCTTGTCCAGGTTACATGATATATAAGGCACATTTCGTATCTTATTACATAACGGTCATCTTGTTTTAAGATAATCGCGTAACACTCATATATAGCCACCAAAATATATTTTCAGAGTAATACATAACAAAATTAATTCTAAAAAATGATAATGTGCTTGATTTTTAAAAAGTTGAAACCTTCTTTATTATATAAATTGAACGTATTTTCTTGGAAGTAAAATCTAGAGACGTAGTTAATGTAAAAAATTCATTTTACCCAATTCATCCAGTTTGTTCTAAACAATGATTCGCCCTGTACGTAAGCAAGAGAACACGACATGACTTTACTCGTCGATACAATATCCTAACTCGGAAGCAATATATAAAATACATATAATACTTACCAGGAATCCTCTTGAAATCTGCCTCGAATCTATGAAAAAATAATCATACATTTGATAAACTTCTGAGAAGGTTATGGGAAGATGTAAACTCTGTATGTTTATCTTAGTGAACAATAAAGTTACACGTTTAACGAAAGACATATGATGCAAGACACGCAAAGTGCATTTCAAGCGGGATATCAATTTAGTACTATTATTGACTTGTAAGACAAATATGTTATTACAAAGACCAGACATCATTAAGGAAATCCTTTCATACCTAGCCTCCTGTGCCTTGATACGGACATATGTGTTTTTAATGTTTACATTAGCTTCATCAGAATCTGATTCTCTAGTACGTGGTCGCTGTCTCTGTTCGGCCAGCTTGTCTGCGTTATGTCTATTGTCAGTGTCCTCTTGTGTCAGACGTCTTTTAAAACCGGATAAGCAGACAACTGATGGTAAGTCATCCACGGGATCTGGCGTCTGTTCCTTAGTGTTCCTTTGTTTGTTTTTTCCATCGTTTTGCTTTTTCTTTTGAACGTGTGCCGGATCATCAGTCCTTCGCAAGTGCTTGTCGTGGAGTTTAGAATTACTTTGGACGTTTGCGTCTCTCAATTCTCTGTTCCTTACACTACTTTCCGTTACCCTTTTCTTTACAACATCGTTTATATGACCTTCTGCTTGTTTAGCTTTATCGATTGTGTTTATAACATCATCGATTCTACCACACATTACGTTTACAGATATTTCTAGATCTCTCAAACTTTTGTCCCTTGTGTCCATCTTTTGTGTTAACATTCTGGCTCTGCTCCCCATGTCTGAAATGATATTTCAATTTTGTGCATGTGTTTTTGAGACATTTCAAATACGAGTATCTGAACTGTTTATCGATTTCAGAATGATCGTTAATATCCAGGAGGAATACTGGCGCCCACCTTGGTATGATCTTCATCGGTTCTTTATAAGTTGCATCTTTCCTCTTATTTGTTATCCTTTATTTGTGAGATTGTTAGGTGAATTGATAAAACGGTAATATCAATAAGAATGACAGCTTTATAAGTGGTAGACAATGCTGATGGACGATTAGTTCATGAGGTTTGTCGTAGCATGCATGCCACGTTTAAGTTAATTTGAACACTGGCACGGTTCATAATATTCACATGCTCTTAACATTGTTCTAAAATGACCTGATATATGAATATTACGAAGTTAATCGAATTATGGGGTTAGTGCACCTCCCTATCTAGGTTCTGACTTTTCTTTCGATTTTGGATTTTCCCTATATGTAGACTTCGTTATTTAAATCCTTAGCTCCTCGGATGATGATACGACTTTATGATGCAGTAAATTCCTTCTTTGGCTCTACTTAATCTAACTCTAGACCAGAATTAAGAAATGTTATTCACCACTGTGTTCTTTGTTCAATCATATAGCTGAAGTGTACAGATAAAGGGGAACCGAGAGCTGAATTTCAAAGAGAATCGAGCAAGAACTTCATTGAAAAATAGTAGTAAGAAACATTAATTCCTCAATATTAATATGCTCGCTTGTCAGCCAAATTATTTTTTGTTCTGCTTAGACAAACCTAAAAGGGCATCACAGTACCTCCGAAGAAATAGCGACAACAAATTTCCATCATCAAAGTACGAAATGACCGCCTGTCTGCTATTCTTTTTTTCTGATCAGTCGCAAAATTAGATTGGAGACCAATGAATAAATCCACACATGATATTTGCTTCTCAAGAAATAACGACAAGTAAAAAGACATGAAGGCACATTTTGTCCCAAAATCAAACGAGCACACCTAGAGACCAAGAGGATCCTACACCATGATTTTCAGAAAGATCTATTCAGTGCTTCGGATGAAATAGTGATAACACGTTTTCATTGTCAAAATTCTAGATGCCCACATGTCAACCATTGAGTACAACAAAGAACAGAGAGGAATCTTCATACGAATGTTAAGAGAGATTCATAAGGGACAAAGGGGAACATCCAGATGAAGGCTGAGATAGATTCATTCAGTACATCTCATGAAATAGGGATAACAAAATCGTTACAGACGTACGACGGATGAGTGACAGACGCAAGGCGATTTGAATAAAGATATAATGTTTCCTCATTTGAAACGTTAAATTGAATATTTGACACTTTATAGATTTATAAATTATGGCAAGACGTGGCTTCACCTTCAATTTTCTGTGGAGCATCTTCAAGCACTGGCGTCTTCCTTCAATAGAATAAAAAGATATACATTATTTATACACTTCAAATGTCATGTTACAAGATGATACCAGATACGTGAACATTTTCAACAAAAGCAAACAAGCCACAAATACATGTAATGAATTATGTACTAAGATCTGATTGTTGATACTTATTACAATCTCTGAGAACTTGGACGTTAGTTCTATCAGACTTATCAAAGTGTTATATCATACACACGTTAACATCATCTTCGCACCCAACTAAAGACGTGAAAATAAGTTAGTAGAACCTTTTCTCAATAATTTATATCAAGATGACTACTTACTTTTGCCGGGTTTCAATTTGTTCCAAGACTTTCCTATTAGTTTCCTCCACTTTCTCCAACACATGGCGAATAGTATGAATCTAAATTGAACAAAGTAAAACATCAAAATAATGGGATGTGTTTTTCAGGCAATGTTGACGCGGATGATGTGAATTTCACTTTTATAAACATCCACATTTATCTACAGGATGTTACATTTTACAGATAATTCATCATTAATCAGAACACAGGATTTAGGGAAGAATTTACTTCGTTTAGAAGGTCTAAACATCCACATTTATCTACAGGATGTTACGTTTTACAGATAAATCATCATTAATCAGAACACGGGATTTAGTGAAGAATTTACCTCGTTTAGAAGGTCTTCACCAGACAATGTTTTTGTTCCCACACGTTTCATTTGTGGTGTTCGCCTCATTACAGTCGTCATGGTCCTCAGGAATAACCTGTTCTACACAGCTGTGAAATAAACGAAAAATCATTTTGTTAAACTATAAACAACAACCTATACAGTGTGAACAACACTATGAACCTTTGCATCTCTTATATCTATCTTGTTAATTAGATAATTTCTATAAGTACCCTTATCATGGTCGCTATATACCCCTACTTATGTCTCAATTAACACCTCTAAACATTGAGCCTTTTAAATCCCCTCATCTGTGTATATAAAACAGATAAAATAAAACATTGTACCGAGTTCAATATAAAAACTTCTATATCTTTTGTACCGAGGTCCCTATCTAAACTCCTATATCCTTTGTACCGATGTCTCTATCAAAATTCCTATATCCTTTGTAGCGAAGTCTCTTTTAAAACTCCTATATCCTTAGTACCCAGGTTTCTATATAAAAAAAAACTCCTATATCATTTGTACCGAAGTCTCTATAAAAACTCCTATATCCTTTGTACTGAGGTCTCTATAAAAACTTCTGTATCTTTTGTACCGATGTCTCTATAAAAATGCCTATATCCTTTGTACCGAGGTCTCTATAAAAACTTCTATATCTTTTGTACCGATGTCTCTATAAAAATGCCTATATCCTTTGTACCGAGGTCTCTATAAAAACTCCTCTATCGTTTGTACCGATGTCTCTATCAAAACTCCTATATCTTTTGTATTGAGGTCTCTAAAAAAACTCCTATATCCTTTGTACCGATGTCTCTATAAAAACGCCTATACGTTTGTACCGAATTTTCTAAAAAAACTCCTATATCTTTTGTACCGATGTCTCTATAAAAACTCCTCTATCGTTTGTACTGAGGTCTCTATAAAAACTTCTGTATCTTTTGTACCGATGTCTCTATAAAAATGCCTATATCCTTTGTACCGAGGTCTCTATAAAAACTTCTATATCTTTTGTACCGATGTCTCTATAAAAATGCCTATATCCTTTGTACCGAGGTCTCTATAAAAACTCCTCTATCGTTTGTACCGATGTCTCTATCAAAACTCCTATATTTTTTGTATTGAGGTCTCTAAAAAAACTCCTATATCCTTTGTACCGATGTCTCTATAAAAACGCCTATACGTTTGTACCGAATTTTCTAAAAAAAACTCCTATATCTTTTGTACCGATGTCTCTATAAAAACTCCTCTATCGTTTGTACCGATGTCTCTATCAAAACTCCTATATCCTTTGTACCGAGGTCTCTATAAAAACACCTATGTCCTCTATATTGAGGTCTACATAAAAAGTTCCTATATCTATATAAGAAATAACACTTTGTACCGAGGTCTCTGTAAACCGTACCTGTGTGTCAGCAATAGAACCAAGCTATCAATAGACCCACTGCATTGCTTACACATACCTCTCAATAACACACGTACCCATCTCTCTTTAAGCACGGTACTACCTATCATTTTATAAACACATGAACCTATTCCTTAATTAACACCTGTATCTGTCTCATCATAAACACCTGAAGCCATCTCTTCAAACACCTATACTTGTCTCTTTATAAACACCTGTACCTGTCTCTATATAAACACCTGTACCTGTCTCTTTATAATCACCTGTACCTATCTCTTTATAAACACCCGTACTTGTCTCTTTATAAACACCTGTACCTGTCTCTTAATAAACACCTGTACTTGTTTCTTTATAAACAATTGTACCTGTCTCTTTATAAACACCTGTACTTGTCTCTTTATAAACACCTGCACCTGTCTCTTTATAAACACCTGTACTTGTTTCTTTATAAACACCTGTACCTGTCTCTTTATAAACACCTGTACTTGTTTCTTTATAAACAATTGTACCTGTCTCTTTATAAACACCTGTACATGTCTCTTTATAAACACCTGTACCTGTCGCTTAATAAACACCTGTACTTGTTTCTTTATAAACAATTGTACCTGCCTCTTTATAAACACATGTACTTGACTTTTTATAAACACTTGCACCTGTCTCTTTATAAACACCCGTACTTGTTTCTTTATAAACACCTGTACCTGTCTCTTTATAAACACCTGTACTTGTTTCTTTATAAACAATTGTACCTGTCTCTTTATAAACACCTGTACTGGTCTCTTTATAAACACCTGTACCTGTCTCTTATTAAACACCTGTACTTGTTTCTTTATAAACAATTGTACCTGTCTCTTTATAAACACCTGTACTTGTCTCTTTATAAACACCTGTACCTGTCGCTTAATAAACACCTGTACTTGTTTCTTTATAAACAATTGTACCTGTCTCTTTATAAACACCTGTACTTGTCTCTTTATAAACACCTGTACCTGTCTCTTAATAAACACCTGTATTTGTTTCTTTATAAACAATTGTACCTGTCTCTTTATAAACACCTGTATTTGTCTCTTTACTTGTCTCTTTATAAACACCTGTACCTGTCTCTTTATAAACACCTGTACTTGTCTCTTTACAAACAATTGTACCTGTCTCTTTATAAGCATATATACCTGTCTCTTTATAAACACCTGTATCTGTCTCTTTGTAAACACATATATCAATCTCTTTATAAACACCTGTACCTGTCTCTTTATAAACACTTGTACCTGTATTCCATCCTTTAGTAAGCTAATTAAGCTATTAACCACCAACTGCCATACCTGAACAGCCAATGTTTTATCCAACTGAATGTAACCCAACAGAAGCGAGACCACATTTCATCGGTATTTAGGTCTAACTTATCACGTTGTACATTCCTGTCTCTAACGATTGCTCAGTCCAGTCTCTACAGATCTACTTTCGTTTTCAAACAGTTCATAATTGGAACTGAGTTTATATAAGGCAAACAATACCTACCTGTATAATTACAGTTATTCACAGGTGTGTCGGTATTGTTTGACTGGATAAAAACGGAAATTTCGTGTAAATAGGATCCACCTCGATCCTACTGACCGAGGTCACACAAACTGTTGTAACGACAGTACATTTAAGTATACACGTACATATATATATACACTCGATGTTGGTCACTCCGTTGATCACCTCTACAATAGCTATTACACATCATCTCGCATTTAAAACAGTTGCTGGTTACTGTAAACGAATATAAACTTACCTTCCCAATAAATCGAGTCACATTTTGTAGTATATACCTCACTTCCCTTTTGGTTCTAGACAGGGTTTACCCAAAGACTATAAATACATATCCTGTTGCTATTTAAAGTAGTAGCTATCACGTGACGTATTAGCATTGCGAGGTGCCCTTAAGGGAAACTTTGTTGTTGTCAGTATTTCAACACTTACAATTTTTATTTCATCATTTGAAAACTATAGATGATAGAATACACGAGACTTTAAGATTAAGTTCATTCATTACTAAGAGTAAAACAGAGCAGCAGTTAGTCTTGTATATTGCCAATGGTGTAACAATAATATGTGTATGCTTAAACCTGCACTCGAATTCCATCGAGACATGTTTTCTTACTTCTGGTTTTATCTGTCTCGCTCCTTATCTACATCTTGTCTAAATTTATTCTATAATCCTAATTCCATAAAGTATTGTGTCTCAGCAGACTTTTGGAAAATAAATTTGTTATCCAAACAAAAATATATTTGTAAATTGCTTTGTACAGATATCATTAACTCTTTCTTTAACAATTTACGTTAACTAATCGTGTACAACATATTGGGTACCTGCCATGTTATAACCAGTAATTATCGACCAGTCCACTAACACCCGGGTATATAGATAGTATATGTGACAACAGGTGCTTACTTCAATCCTTCCCTTTTTCTTTGTTTCAGCTTGACAAATGTATCGACCCCTTGACTTTGGTGGTCCAGGTTGATTCATGTTTCCTCGCCTCCTGTGTATATTGTAACACTACCCGCAAATGGTCACTGTTCTGGCGAGAACAATCAACCCGTATGACAAATCGTACAACATATTTGCCATTAAAGGTTATTCCGCAAAAATACACCCTTGACCTTCAAGCTGTGCGGGGAAATGTAAATCTATACTCTGTTTCTGTCGCCATTATATATATAAATCATTTAATCTTTTCTCTCAAACAGGAATAAAACTTTGATATCCCTTGATATCATATACAGATTTTTTAAACCATGACAATGTGTAACACGCTTGATATATTTCCAAATAATTTAAAGACGTAATTGAAATCTGTATTCATTTTAACAAATTTTATTGACAAAATATGTTAATATAAATAACAGGCAAAGCCTATATAAATTCTCTCCATATATTTGCCATAGTAGAATAAATGAATTGATTTACTCTTGGTATTTTCACAAGACTGAAATGAAAATAACACAAAATAATTAATACACAAATATAGAAAATGAAGGGAGATAACTCTCACACATCATATACACTATAGCATATATACATACATCACAAATACAACATTTTTTACAACGTCCTTTATACATTATATAGTGTATAGTCATCAACAGGTATGACCTAAAATCTGTATTCAATTAAACGTTTTCAATTTAATACCACTGTCAATTCAAATAAAGAATTAGGTGCGGTATCATAAACAGTATATTGTTTATTCAAATACATTTGGTTGCTGATTTTGCAAATGGGTTGGGCAGTGAATTAAACTGCGTCATAGTTAATTAGTTCTAGGACGCGTAAGTGATGCTACGGATCGAAAGTGACAAAGTTCATTAAGATCAGTTTGTGTCTTGGTAAAGAACAAACTAGGACAAAGTTTGCGACCTTTCCGTGGTAAATATTTACTGGTCAACTTTCAGTCTAGGAAATGCTATAAGAACTTATAGATTGACACCATCATACTAAATTGATAGAATGTTCCTAATTTGATTAAGCAGGAAATGTCAGTGTGCTGACTTAGAAAATTGAATTCTGTAATTAATCAAAAACGGTAAAACTCAACGCACATACCTTTAGTATTGTGATACTTAAACTGAAGCCCAAGACCGTTTATTTTAATTTGCAGCAGAACACGCAAAAGTAAGCAAACAAACCACATTATATTTGCATGTTTTATTACGTAGTTAAAGCAGTATCTTGCGAACCACACATAAAAGATCATTCAAACAAACAACGAACTAGGTAGGGTTTTATTTTCAAGCTTTTACCTAACAAAAGTATCTTCTAAAAAAAACCAATACCTTTCTTGTATTAAGGGCTTTCGTAAGAGCATTTGGTAAACATGTCAGTCAGATATGTGTAGTTAACGATTCACAATACTAGCACAAAGTCCATACCATAGTTTCTAAGCTGTGACCATACTATTGAAAATATTTGTATCAGCAATTGTACACGTCCTCTCATATATTTCTCTGAATTATTTCATACGCAATACTGCAGGTACAATCTATTTCAAATTACTAAATATAAAAATATTGCACTCACTCAGCTGGTTGCTTTCCTCTCACACATACTAATAATATATTTACCATGCAACAACAATGCCATGAATCATGTGTTAAGTAATCGTGTTCGATCGGCAGCGAAAAACCAGTCAGTTAATCATAACAATACTCCTACACGCTGATAGAACAAGTTGCATAGAAAAAAGAAAAGCACGCATTGTTCCAAAATTTGCACGTCAAGTTTGTCTTAATACATGGGAACGTAACATTATTCTCCGGTTTGGGGTATTGTTTATACTCGTGAAAATCCCATGCGCATCAAAGCAACTTAAAGATGTAAGTTTTTATCTGATCATTGTTAAACAAGAGGCCCAAAAGGCCTGAATCGCTAACCTGTTTGTTAATTGACAATTAGTTGTGCAATGTTAAAAGTGACTGAACAAGTTTTAAAAATCTTTTAAAAATTCAACACAGTTTACCTCGTGATGTTGAAAATTAAGAAAGGTTGTGCAGTTGAACAAACTTGGAAGCCATCATATCAGCATGTTACTGGTGAAATTTCAATATCTAAGGTTTTCTGGTTGTTTAGAATATGTTGTTATAGATGTTTTCAACCAATTTGACCAGGGTGACGTTGATTGCGGGTCGACAAGGTCATTCACTGGAACAACTAATACTGTAGTGATTTGGAAATTGACATTGTCAGCAGGGTATTAAGATGGGGACTCAGGGTGGATGGCAAATGCGAAAGTATGAACTTTTACTTCACTAGATAGTTCAGTATAAAGATTGCAATTGTTATGTTATGGTCCAGCAATTATTTGAAGTTTTCAGAGGGAAGACAGGATTGAGTACAAGGCCAATCCTCACTATGAACTTGAAAGTGGGTCAAGGTCATTCATTTGAACAAAGCCCGGGCCTTTCAGTTAATGGAGAGAAGTCTTTTGAAGATATTTATACATTTGACCAATGTGACTTTGAAAATAGGTCAAGGTCATTCATTTGAACAAAACTTTGCAGCCCTTCATCTCAGCAATATACAGGCCAAATATCAGTACCCTGGGTCTACCGGTTATTGATGAGTTCTTCCAAGATTTTAACATTCGGCCCTTGTGACTTTAAAGTGGGTCAAGGTCATTCATGTGAAGAATCTTGCTACATCTTTTAGTCCTTTTTCCCAGTATGCACAAGGTCCATTATTATTACCTCGGCATTTCCCTTACTGAGAAGTATTTCAACCCCTTTGACTCATGTGACCTAAAATATAGGTCGAGGGAATTATTTTGAACATACAAAGTGTCATTCCTTTCCAGTAAGCCACAAGTCCAGCATCATTACCCTGGGTATTTCAGTTAATAGGAAGAAGTTGTTAGAAGGTTTTAATACATTTGACTCGTATGATGTTGAAGGTAGGTCAATGTCATTCATTTGAACAATTTTGGTAGCCCTTCATCCCAGCAAGCTACATGTTTAATATCAGTGCCCTGGGCATTTTGGTTATTAAGAAGTTCTTCCAAGATTTTAACATATTTGACCCCTTTGACCTCGAAAATGGAGAAGACGTTTGGATGTTTTTAAACGCATTTGGCCTTTGTGACATTGAAAGTGGGTCAAGGTCATTCATTTAAACAAACTTGGTTGACCTCCATTCAAGCATGTTACAGGCTCCAAATCAGCACCTTTCTGTTATTGAGAAGTTGTTTGAAGCGAAAAAAATATACGCCGGACGGACAATGGTTTATAATCATAATAGAATAATACTACCACTAGTGACGCTTAAATCCGAAAGTAAATCCTACAATGGTTTCGTATAAATCTATCCCGTAAACGTGTGTGAAATGTAAAACATAAAACTACTTATCAAAATAGGAAAACAATTATGAAAGACAAATGTAGTACTGTTATTCATTAGATCATCTCCAAGACATTTAATGCTAAAACTTATAGTAGCATCAATAACTACTTCTGTAATGGTAGGTGTTTTACTTTCCCGGTGGATATCAGCGTCACCTTCACTTTATGTTAGCACTGAAAAACAAAAACAATAATTATATAGAATATTCAAATTCGCCTTATAACAAAACATAAGAAACTAATGTTATTTAAGATTTACAAAACATATTGAATATTTTTCGTATTACAGCAGATGCCGAGTAGCCAGTAAAACGTAACATAGGACAGAATGACTAGCGTTTTACATCATCATTAATCGTTTGTTGCTCAGTAAGACCCTGTACTTAGATATAGCTACTATTACCTGTCCGTCGTATATGTACTGCTGTTTTTGTGTTGATTTCAATCTGCTGCATCTTTGTGAAAAGGAGCCGATACCTACAAAATGGATTAAACATAAATGTACAGTCTTCGTGCAAAGGCTGTTCTAAGTACAACGTACTCACTTATTTTTGGAAAATGTGATGCAATTAACAATTGCCAAAAATATATCAGTCTCTCTTAATTATGAAATAGGACACTCGTTGATGCGTGAGTTCTAAGAAGCGGAAGTCTGTTGAATATTTCGTGTAATGGATAATTGTGAGTGTGCCCATCCAGATTTTGACATTTCAGCCTTCTTCAGTTGCCTTCTAGGCTTCGAATGTTATACCTTTATCATCACTGATGAGTCCTAAAAGGACTAAACAGCTGTAAGCTTTAGCATCAATGACGAGTCCTAGAAGGACGAAACAGCACTATCATGTTACAATACTGACGAGTCCTAAAAGGACGAAACAGCTGTAAGCTGTAACAATACTGACGAGTCCTAGAGGGACGAAACAGCTGTAAGATGTAACATCACTGACGAGTCCTAGAAGGATGAAACAGCTGTAAGCTGAAGCATCACTGACGAGTCCTAGAAGGATGAAACAGCTGTAAGCTGTAACATCACTGACGAGTCCTAGAAGGATGAAACAGCTGTAAGCTGTAACATCACTGACGAGTCCTAGAAGGATGAAACAGCTGTAAGCTGTAACATCACTGTCGAGTCCTAGAAGGGCGAAACAGCAATATCATGTAACAATACTGACGAGTTCTAGAAGGACGAAACATCTATAAGTTCTGTGTTATTATGAACGTGTCGTGTACCACAATTCTTTGTTATTATGAATTTCCCGATAAATGTCCTAAGTATTGAGTCATTATGTCCTGAGTTCTGGGTCATTATGTCCTGAACACTTGATCATTATGTCCTAAACACTGGGTTATTACGTCCTCAGTACTGGGTTATTATGTCCTAAACACTGGGTTATTAAGTCCTAAGTACTGGTATATTACGTCCTCAGTACTGGGTTAGTATGTCCTCAGTACTGGGTTAACATGTCCTAAGTACTGGGTTATTACGTCATCAGTACTGGGTTATTATGTCCTTAGTACTGGGTTAATATGTCCTAAGTACTGGGTCATTATGCCCTTAGTACTGGGTCATTATGTCCTCAGTACTGGGTTATTATGTCCTAAGTGCTTGGTTATAATGAATGTGTTATATGGGCCAATTTCATTTGTAGTCCTAATACTTTCTGTCCTGATATCCACCTGTAACACTACACTCTTGTAGATTACGTACTCATCCATTCAATAATTTTAAATTTAGACAGACCAAATTGTATTTTTCTCAAGTGGACCACAAAAAATGAGATAAAATCTCAACACACAAACCCACCTAGCACATACAGCTCTTACAAATACATTTAACCAATGGATTAGTCTTTTTTTGTTCAAAATATGATAGAAAACAATATCACCTGGCCTTCATATTATGTCAATTAACAGTGAAAACAAACCATAGATAGCAAGAATGAGATTTAGCTCTGTTTATTCAGTGGGGTGATATACCAATGTCCTTACCCTACACCGTCCATGTTGATGATGACGGTCCCACCTGGACGTTTGATATACCATTGTCCTTACCCTACACCGTCCATGTTGATGATGACGGTCCCACCTGGACGTTTGATATACCAATGTCCTTACCCTGCACCGTCCATGTTGATGATGACGGTCCCACCTGGACGTTTGATATACCAATGTCCTTACCCTACACCGTCCATGTTGATGATGACGGTCCCACCTGGACGTTTGATATACCAATGTCCTTACCTTACACCGTCCATGTTGATGATGACGGTCCCACCTGGACGTTTGATATACCAATGTCCTTACCCTACACCGTCCATGTTGATGATGACGGTCCCACCTGGACGTTTGATATACCAATGTCCTTACCCTACACCGTCCATGTTGATGATGTCGGTCCCACCTGGTCTTTTGATATACCAATGTCCTTACCCTGCACCGTCCATGTTGATGATGACGGTCCCACCTGGACGTTTGATATACCAATGTCCTTACCCTATACCAATGTCCTTACCCACCGTCCATGTTGATGATGACGGTCCCACCTGGACGTTTGATATACCAATGTCCTTACCTTACACCGTCCATGTTGATGATGACGGTCCCACCTGGACGTTTGATATACCAATGTCCTTACCCTACACCGTCCATGTTGATGATGACGGTCCCACCTGGACGTTTGATATATGTGGCCTCTATCTTTCCATTGACGTTACCAGGGTAGTCACGGAACTGACCTCCACTGTCGACATACTGCCACTTTACGCGGTAGTCAGCAGTAGGTGAGTCAGGCGATACGGGTGGTGTTGTTACATCGACTGAAACCAGACATAATGTTATCATCATCACTATCGGCCAAACCTTACACATTGTGTAAATGACAACACTTCCTGAATTTAACGAGATTTTTAACATCACACCTAAATGAAGACACTCTATCACATTCTTCACAACGTTATATGTAAATTAATGTGTGGTATCATATGTACTTATATACTTAGCAATATAAGAAAATTTGTATCTAGATAAACAATTTAAGGCCCCATGATTAACAACATGTATCTATGTTAATTGTTAAACTTTATCATTATTATTTATTCAATACAAGAAAGGTGTTTCCAGCGCCGAAAATTTAGTGTTTTTTTTATATGTACCTGGGAAAGGAATTAATATCAGCTCTAAGCTTGTTTTCCAGTCCCATACGTATCTGATGCACGTGTTAAATTTATTGTATTAGAACATTGTTTAAGCTAAATATAAGGCAGGTTTGTATGGATTTGCAGCGTTTATTTTACACTGAATTATCTTTAATTTTGCAAACAAAAAGAACAAATTTTCAGCGTAATTAGAATGACCTGATAAGTCATATCGTCTTATACTTTTGTTTTACATATAATTTACCCTTAGATTTAACGATATCACTTTCTCCAGATCGGAGTGATGTCTTTGGAGTCAGTGACGTGTTTTTCTTGTTCATTTCCTCCACGGATGGCAGGCACGATTCTATCTTGTTGGGGACGTCTGTATTTGTATTGACCGTTTCTCGTGGTGGATCATTTCTCAGGGTAGGCCTCGGTAAGTTTTCATTTGTGAAATGACTACCGCTGTTTTGAACGCGAAAAGAACTTTCCCGGCCGGTTTGAATACGGGGGCGTGGCGTCGTATTCGGATCACTGTAATTAAAAGAAATCAAAGTTGTTGATAAATATTTGTTTGGGTGAGGCTGCAGTTATAAAGTTTACTGACATTGGTTCTAGGTCATAGTGTACTATCTATCCTTAAGAATGTGGCACTTCATCTAATTCGTTTGATTACACGTTTGTGTGTCTTCGAGGTACTTGTATTTGCGTGTATGCGCATGCCCGTAAACATCTAAACATTTCAAACCTGTTACGAATATTATTTTTGGGTAAGGAAGATAATACCATATTTCTATATCAAATCGTCCTTCCGCTCCATATTTGTAGCTACCCGTATTACCGCAGGGCCACCTCACCTAAAAAACACCAAGAAATAAATTTTTTGTCAATGTTAAGGTTGGTGCTATCCTGACAACATGATAACAAAGCACATTTTACATCAGGAAGATGTTTCCTAAGATGTGATAGACCCAGAAGCTATCATTATGATTGACTTCCATTAACACTGAAGCATGAGGATTTATCAGCGTACCCCAACAATGCCGTTCTCCTTGACCCGGAACACAACACCAATTTTGCCTTCACCACCATCCTGGTCAGCAAAGGTCCAGTCTGTACCTTTATAAATAACACAACTACAGCTGTGAGTATTCCATTAAAACAAATAAAAAGCATATGAACGATAACAGGACTGGTACATTTCGCCGTTTTTTTCAGAATTTTAAAACTTCACAGTTATAGGATTTTTTACGTACATGTTTTCGTATACCTGACGATGTCCATTTTTAGCGGCGAAGTTTGAGTTAACAACAAGCATACGTTTTTTTTATGAAATATAGCTAAATGAAAGACAGATGAAAATATATGAATCAGTATTTTTGAAATGTTGCGCTCTTTCCACAGATGACCTGTAAATTATATACATATTATCTTATGCTTCATATAAAAAAAAAGACAACAGAACAGTTAAGAGGAATATTTAAAGAAGTTGATAGAAAGTCTAGAAGCTAGCTTAAACCCAGACCAGGAAGAATTAGATAATAGAAAACAAGAATTAGAATCTTCACGATTGAGAAGGATAAAGGAAAGTTTTATCAGATCAAGAGCAAAATGGATTGAAGAAGGGGAAAAGCCTACTTCCTATTTCTTGAATTTAGAAAATCTAAATTTCACTTCTAAAATAATTCCAAAATTACAAAAAGATAATGATGACGTGATTACAAACCAGGGGGATATTTTAAATGAAGTTAGATTATTCTATGAAAATTTATACAGATTTAGAGAAGTTGATGCTGTCGATTTAAATTATCATCTTCAGGGTTGTGGAGTACCAAAATTAAGTAACACAGAGTCCAAGATTCTGGAAGGTTTGATCACTATAGAAGAGGCAGGTAAAGTTTTGAAAGATATGAACAATAATAAGAGTCCTAGATCAGATGGTTTCACCCCTGAATTTTTAAAGACCTTTTGGAAATTTATAGTATTTGTTGTCCGTTCAATAAATTAAAGTTTTTCTGTAGGTCAGCTTTATATAACTCAGAGACATGGCATAATAACCTGTATTCCAAAGGGAGATAAACCACGTCATTTCTTAAAAAAACTGGAGACCTATCTCTTTGTTAAACATTTCCTACAAAATAGCTTCCGGAATAATTTCTCATAGGACAAAATCAGTTCTAGGAAAGCTTATAAATGAAGATCAGACAGGTTTCTTATCTGAGCGCTATATTGGTGAAAATATTCGTACTCTTTATGACGTAATGGCGTATGCTGAAGATTTAGATATTCCAGGAATGCTCCTTATGGTCGATTTTGAGAAAGCTTTTGATTCTGTTTCATGGGATTTTATTGATAAAGTTCTTGATTATTTCAATTTTGGGCGGGATATAAGGAAATGGATTAAAAATTTTCATACTAATATTTACTCCTCAATTAATCAGGGAGGTAATATTTCTGCCTCTGTTGACATCCATCGCGGTTGTCGTCAAGGTGACCCTATCTCCCCGTACATTTTTATTTTGTGTGTTGAAATTTTAGCAGCAAAAATCAGGACAAATAACAATATAAATGGTATACAAATTGATAATGTATCTATTCTTAATATACAGTATGCAGATGACACTGGTCTTATACTTGATGGCTCAGAGAACTCACTCAAGGAATCAATTATCGAACTAACCTTTTTTGCTAAAATGTTAGGTTTAAATATTAACACAAATAAAACACATGTAATTTGGACAGGAAGCAAAAAATATAGTGATTACTCTTTCCTTCCAGAATTGAACCTTCTCTGGGGCAATAATAAGTTTACTTTTTTGGGTATTGAATTTTCGGTCAACCTTAGTGAGATTCCTAGAATGAATTTTGACAAAAAATAGTTAAACTGAAAGCAATTATTAACATGTGGCGAAGACGGAATCTTCGTCCTATTGGTAGAATTAACATAATTAAGTCACTTCTAATTTCCCAGTTCAATTATTTATTTATAACTCTTCCTAATCCTCCCGACAAAGTTCTTGCCAAATTAAATTACTGTTCGAATTCCTCTGGAATGGTAAATGTCACAGAATTAAAAAGGATGTGGTAATTCAACGCCATATAGATGGGGGGCTAAAAATGATAGATGTAGGAGCTTTTATGGATTCTCTTAAATTAGGATGGATAAGAAGAATCACTCAGTCATCAGGAAAATGGAAAGTTCTATTGAATTCTATTGTAGAGGTAAAAAAATGTTTCATTGCGGAAAGGAATATGTTAAGTCATGTAGTAACAATTGCAGCAATATATTCTGGAAAGATGTTTTTAAAAGTTGGGTTAGATTGAATAATTCCTTTCCTATGAGGCAAAGTATGCCAGAGTCAATTTTAAAAACCCCTTTATGGTACAATAATGACATTCAAGTGGGCAATAGATATGTCTTCTATCCAGTATGGTTTAATGCTGGTATATATACCATCAATGACCTAATTAAAAATTCTGATCATTTGACATTTTTCTCCTTTGATGAGTTTCTTCATAAATTTTTAATCAATACCAACTATTTACAGTATCTTGGCTTGATTACAGCCGTCAAGTGTTTCTTGAGAAAACATGACTTCCATCCATTAGGACTATTTCAGCCTTTTATACCACTTCTATGGGATTTTTTTTTATAAAAGTGAAAAAGGTGCCAAAGACTTCTACAATGCTATTATTAAACCAGCTCCAACCCCTACTGGTATTCGAAAATAGAGTGATGAGTTCGACTTTGATGATCAGAAGTGGAAAAATATATCAATAATTCCGTTTACTATTACAAAAAGTTCTAAGCTACAGTGGTTTCAAGTAAGGATTATACATCACATTCTGGTTACTACCTCCTTTCTTTTCAATATTAATTTAATACCTAGCCCTTTATGTACACTATGTAATATGGAAAGAGAAACAATCCTTCACTGTCTATGGGAGTGTATAGAGGTACAGACTCTATTGGAGAGATTTGAGTCTCTTCTTGATATTCTTCTGATTCCTTTTTGGATAAACAAAGAAACGTATTTATTTGGAATTATCCATCCTAATGCTAACACTGTAGATAACGAAATTTTAATTCTCATTAAACACTATGTTTATATGTCAAGATGTCTACAAAAATCTCTTAATTTAAATGCTCTTATAAATAAGATTAAGGATAATTTCCATGTTCAAAAGTACATTTCCAGCAAAAACACTATTATGAAAACAAATTTTGAGAATAATTGGAAAAAATGGATGCCCATTTTGGAACTATAGTATGTATGCTAACAAGTCTGTTCCCAATGGCCATGGACTTGACTTTACCAAACTGACTCTCTCTCTCTCTCTCTCTCTCTCTCTCTCTCTCTCTCTCTCTCTCTCTCTCTCTCTCTCTCTCTCTCTCTCTCTCTCTCTCTTTGTTTAGGATGTATAATGTTTTTTTTATATATAAATGTATTCATGAGTGAGTACGTGTGTGTGAGAAAATATTTTTGATAAGTGTAAGTGATATGATATTGTATGTGTGTGTGTGTTTGTGAGTTTTTTGTTAAGTACATGTAAGTTTGCTATGTGAGTGTAAGTGGGTGTGAATGTTGATGAGTGAGTTTGTGTGCAGTAAGTAGTAGATACTACATGATGATGATGATGATGATAATTATATGATGATGATGATGATGATGATGATGATGATGATGATGCATGTATATGTGTAAGACATATTCAAGTAAGAGCACACAAGTGTGAGAGTGTGGGTGTATGTTTTTGTGTGGTTTCTCTTGTATATTGTGTAAAATGTAAAAAAAAAAAAAAAATAAAAGAATTACAAAAATATATATATATATATACATATACAACAATTGAGTTGTACATTCCTCATTTGAGGAGATATCAGGCAGCTTTATACACAACCTATCATACCTCCATTAATGAAATACACAACCTATCACACCTCCATTAATGAAATACACAACCTATCACACCTCCATTAATGAAATACCCGCCAGCTTTATACACAACCTATCATACCTCCATTAATGAAATACCTGCCAGCTTTATACACAACCTATCATACCTCCATTAATGAAATACCTGCCAGCTTTATACACAACCTATCACACCTCCATTAATGAAATACCTGCCAGCTTTATACACAACCTATCACACCTCCATTAATGAAATACCTTCCAGCTATGTACACAACCTATCACACCTCCATTAATGAAATACACAACCTATCACACCTCCATTAATGAAATACCTGCCAGCTTTATACACAACCTATCACACCTCCATTAATGAAATACACAACCTATCACACCTCCATTAATGAAATACCAGCCAGCTTTATACACAACCTATCACACCTCCATTAATGAAATACCTTCCAGCTTTATACACAACCTATCACACCTCCATTAATGAAATACCTATGTACACAACCTATCACAAATACACAACCTATCACACCTCCATTAATGAAATACCTGCCAGCTTTATACACAACCTATCACACCTCCATTAATGAAATACACAACCTATCACACCTTCATTAATGAAATAACCGCCAGCTTTATACACAACCTATCACACCTCCATTAATGAAATACCCGCCAGCTTTATACACAACCTATCACACCTCCATTAATGAAATACCTGCCGGCTTTATACACAACCTATCACACCTTCATTAATGAAATAACCGCCAGCTTTATACACAACCTATCACACCTCCATTAATGAAATACCTGCCAGCTTTATACACAACCTATCACACCTTCATTAATGAAATACCCGCCAGCTTTATACACAACCTATCACACCTCCATTAATGAAATACCTGCCAGCTTTATACACAACCTATCACACCTCCATTAATGAAATACCCGCCAGCTTTATACACAACCTATCACACCTCCATTAATGAAATACACAACCTATCACACCTCCATTAATGAAATACACAACCTATCACACCTTCATTAATGAAATAACCGCCAGCTTTATACACAACCTATCATACCTCCATTAATGAAATACCTGCCAGCTTTATACACAACCTATCACACCTTCATTAATGAAATACCTGCCAGCTTTATACACAACCTATCACACCTCCATTAATGAAATACCTGCCAGCTTTATACACAACCTATCACACCTCCATTAATGAAATACACAACCTATCACACCTCCATTAATGAAATACACAACCTATCACACCTCCATTAATGAAATACACAACCTATCACACCTTCATTAATGAAATACCCACCAGCTTTATACACAACCTATCACACCTCCATTAATGAAATACACAACCTATCACACCTTCATTAATGAAATACCCGCCAGCTTTATACACAACCTATCACACCTCCATTAATGAAATACCCACCAGCTTTATACACAACCTATCACACCTTCATTAATGAAATACCCACCAGCTTTATACACAACCTATCACACCTTCATTAATGAAATACCCGCCAGCTTTATACACAACCTTTCACACATCTATTAATGAAATACCCGCCAGCTTTATACAAAACGTATCACATCTCCGTTAATGAAATACACGGTAGTTAAATATACCTGCCAGCTTTATACTATATATACACACCTTTGCCTAGCTAACCGACAGTTATATATAAATACCTGCCAGCTATATATAACATACCTCCAACCAGATACCACAGCTATATATAATGAAATAACCGACAGCTTTATACAGATAAACAGCTATCATCTCCGTTAATGAAATACACGGTAGTTAAATATAACTTGCCTCCTTTCACCAGATAACCGACAGCTATATATAACATGTCTCCTTTGACCAGATAACCGACAGTTATATATAACATACCTCGTTTGACCAGATAACCGACAGCTATATATAACATACCTCCTTTGACCAGATAACCGACAGCTATATATAACATACCTCCTTTGACCAGATAACCGACAGCTATATATAACATACCTCCTTTGACCAGATAACCGACAGCTTTATATATCTTGCCTCCTTTGACCAGATAACCGACAGCTATATATAACATGTCTCCTTTGACCAGATAACCGACAGCTATATATAACATACCTTGTTTGACCAGATAACCGACAGCTATATATAACATACCTCCTTTGACCAGATAACCGACAGCTATATATATAACTTACCTCGTTTGACCAGATAACCGACAGCTATATATAACATGCCTCCTTTGACCAGATAACCGACAGCTATATATAACATGCCTCGTTTGACCAGATAACCGACAGCTATATATAATATACCTCCTTTGACCAGATAACCGACAGCTATATATATAACTTACCTCGTTTGACCAGATAACCTGTAGCAATCAGGTGGTCTCCTAGGATCTGGCGAGGTTCATCAACTACTCTGACGTCATAGCAGTCGGGCTGGTAGTGATACCGGTTTTTAAAGCCGTTGTCCCACTCAATCCAAATCATTCCTTTAAGTTTGTGAACGTTGACCATTAAATACAGACATTCAATCGCAATGACAAATAAATGTATTCCTCAAAACTACAAAAAAATCTCTCCGTTTTATTAAAGGTGTCTATCAACATCTTTTATGTTGAACGATTTTAATTTATTTTATAATCATCTATATCGAGGTGAAACCAACAATGGCCGACGTTTGTCAAAATCTTCCAATGTGTATATAATACCTACCGCTGACTTGACAGAACTCATTCTGTAACATATGGCTCAAGTTTGTCAAAATCTACCAATTTTTTATATGTTCCGTTCGCTTGTCTTTATCATATGGCTGACGTTTGTGAAAATTTACCTATTTGTTTACATCTACCGTTCGCCTGACAAAAGCTAGTCTTTTATCTAGCTATTATAAATCAGATTATAAAATTATAAATTGTTATACCAACATTATTGATATCAATGTCTACTAAACAGCCAGACAAACAATGACGACTTCCATCCAACTACGATAAGTACCATTGTCTTGGTGTCCTATAACAGTTCCGGGCCCCTCCGTGTCCTGGTTTTTCCATTTCCAGCTTGGTCCGCGACGAACACGTGTCCCGATTGGGGGCATATTTGGATCCTGTTCAATATACATTGTTAGTTCTATCCCTGATGTAGACGTTTCCCTGCTCTTCAGATATTCAACGTAATCAACGATGTCCTCCTGATGATGTAAAAATAATTCTCTGTCTCTCTCTCTTTGTCATTAAATTTCAAATTGTTCTGTAAGAACTCTCTTATTAAGGCAAGTGACTAGAATGATTATCTGCAATGTATATATATACTGCTATATGACTCTTTGGGGGCTGACTGGAGCTGAATACTTACTGCGTCCTGTTGGACAGAGAAAGGAGCCATTGAACGGTCTGTCAGGATATCCATCATCTGTTGCCGGCTATTTCCTTTGAGCGCTTCATACATTTCAATGGCGGAAACCTTGGTAACATTAGAAAGGTGACAAATATGAAACATTCCATCTCTACAGCTGACAAACTTACAATGGATCTACACTGAAAAATGAAACGATCCATGCACCAAACGGTGTTTACTCTGAGCTTTTATTAAATCAAAGTAAGTGATTGCATACTAAATATGTGATACCACCCTCCAAAAGACAACACCCACGTATTGACAATAACATGGAAATAATAAATAAGACCCGCATAGTTTGATTTATCATCAATATTTACTATAAAGATTACTACTGTATGAAAAAAGGATCTTCGTTAGCATTTTACAGGACATGACATCATATCTCTCTCTCTCTCTAAAGTACTGAACCTTTGCCTGGGTCATCTTCACAAGCCTTTGGACATCACTTGACGGGTAAATCCTTCCCTTTGTCATTCTACAAATGTCCTCGAAATATACCTAAAATATCAATACATTTATATCAGTTTGTATTAAACACTTCTGCTCTTCACTAACTTCCCGTCACATCAATTCTGCCTTAAATATGCAGATCGTTCACACGTATCAAAAGAGTTCCTCTTCAATAAAAGTATAATTCACTATTGGACATAGCTGGAAAATATACAATTATTTTCATAGGATCATGGAGTCAAATAAATATCATTCTTACCGTCTTTGCGTCCCCTACTGGTACACAAAACACGCGGTTACCTCTCTCTGCGTAGTCCTTCAGAACTGGCAATAGCAGAAGGCGAATCTTCAAACGAAAAGAAAATGTCCTATGATTAGAAACTGATAAATTCCTTTAGAATACAAAGTTATTCAAATCATTCCCTCATTCCGTACCACGAAAACTACCACTGTATCCAGATTGGAATTATGTCCCCCAAAAAACTGGATTATTGTTGTCCGTTAAGCAGATTTCAACTTGATAGTGTTAGAAGATTTTTTACAAGCTAAAGAGATATATTCCTTTGTGTACTGTTTTCGTATTTGTGCTGAAATATATTTCAGCTTCTGAATTATTATATTACAGTGAAGGTTAATATTAAGTGTAACTTTGCCAATTCTATTTTTTTCTTTCACTTCTACAGAAAGAATATCACGAAGTTCGCGAAACCATTTTAGACATGTAACTAGGAAAAATTAACAAGCTCAAGTCTAACCCACAAGTATCAATGTCAACAAATACGGCACGTGATCTAACACCACAAGTATCCTCTGGTCAATAATGACGACACGTGATCTAACCCCACAAGTATCCCTCTGTCTACATAGACGACACGTGGTCTAACCTCCGCAAGTATCCAATCGCCAGCATAATTTTATTGTGAACCAATATAAACCCGTGTGTTACCTACATGAGAAGTTATATGGGAGCCCTCTTCTGTCTGTTCCGTGGTGCAAGTGTCTCGTGTAGCATGGCCGTCACTGATGAGAATAACTTTTGAAGATAGTGGTACGCTTCTCACGTTTGTAACACCCGATGCTGAAACAAAAATAATATACAAAAAATAGCAATAATCTTTGCAGTATTGCTTATTGTTAAAGATCGACATCCACAATTTTTTTTTTTTTTATTTTGAAGATACCATTAAAAATAAAGCGTCGTCAGCAGAGATAAAAAAAAAACACCCATTGTAAGTGAAATCAGTATGTTTTCAATGCATCGAACATTTACAGTATATACTATATACAAGGCGATAAAAGGTAATCATATCACATATATGGGCGTTCTCTCTAGGTAGTCTGATAAAATCTCGGTGTCCATCGAGATGCCATCTTGTCCTCCAAAACCAGCTTAACTGGCTACGACTCAAGGGGCACATATCGAAAGTTCTGATAATGAAGAAAGTGTCTCTTTCTCACCATTTCCTAATAAAGCTGCTAAACCCATCACTAGACCTGCTGAAAATGGACTAGGACCTCCAACTGGTAAGGTATCTGTAAGTCAATGAAATAAGGTTAATATCAGCAGTATAGTGTACCTGTTTCTATCGCAGTAATACCAGATACTTAACAGATTGCAATGTAAAATGTATGAAGCTTTTATTATTTTTAAAATTTGTTTACCTAAAGAAGATATCAGATCGACGTAATCCATTGTCAAATGCTTGAAAACAGTAGTTTCCTGACCAATTACAGTTATGGCGATATTTTCCTCAACTCCGATTGTCTTGTGCACAGCCTGTATACCTGTGGTATAGACAATGTATCGATATCAGTAAAAATCAATCAAAGGTACAATCGCCAGATAATCGATCACTTTTTCACTTAAAACGTTATACGAAATACACAAACGTCATCTTTCTATAAAACATCGAGTTACTTACAAAACAAAAACGAAACTTCATCATGCAGCAGTTTCGTTCATCTCGGACTCAAAGCAAACAAAGTGTATATCAACACGAATGATTGTAAATAAACACATATTTACAGATCAGCATATCACCATGTATTCTACTGTACATCAACAGCTAGTGTATTAATATCGAGTAAATAATTATGATACATTATATGCATCAATTGTATGGATATTAAATACGTAAGCAGATGGTAAACGCAGTACACTGAGTCTCATACTTAACACATCTACAACAAACTACCTTCTATGATCAGTTTGGCAATTCGTATCATCTCGTAAAACGGTTGACCACGCATACTTTCTGAAGTATCCAAAAGAAGGACTGTATCAGGGCCTCTCCCGCGATAGGGAGCTAAACGTGTCCCTATCAAAGAAAAAATAATTCCATTAGATCATGTCCATGTCTCTTGTGCAAAAGGAATGAAAAAAAAAAACATACGGAATTGTTGGCAAGGATCAACTGTAAATCACATCGACGTGTTAAATATGTACCTGACTGGTCACATGTTGCTAACCACTACACAAGACAAGAATTGAAACCGAAACCAACATATACACGTATCATATGTACTGACAGTTCCAATTTACCCTTTTGGCGTTCCTCGTTGGCTTTTGCTACCCATCTCTTAGATGCTTTAGCGTCGGCCTCTGTTATGCTAAAGTGATCCACTGAAATAAAGAGTCCGAAATATGCAATCAATTTTGTGTATCAATACGATACGAAATACACGCTTTTGTGTCGTATACTCACTCCGTATCCAACGCGATGACACAACGTACAAAACTGTGGTTAGTGAGCTCATGCAAGGTCACTGTTAAGGTCTTATTTCATTTATTTCTGTATAGCTCACTCATTGATATCTTTGTGTGTAGGTCCATGAACACTATAACACATTTTGGCAATAGAATTAGCATTGTTCTCACAAATATCGTAGTTAATTCTGAAAAAAACTGAGAACGAAGTATATAGCCCTTGTAAATATTATGGAAACAGGTAGAGTTCACATCCATAAGGGAAGTGTATAGCCCTTGTAAAAGCCATGGAAACAGGTAGAGTTCACATCCGTAAGGGAAGTGTATAGCCCTTGTAAAACGTAAGGGAAGTATATAGCCCTTGTAAAAGCCATGGAAACAGGTAGAGTTCACATCCATAAGGGAAGTGCATAGCCCTTGTAAAAGACATGCAAACAGGTAGAGTTCACATCCTTAAGGGAAGTGTATAGCCCTTGTAAAAGCCATGGAAACAGGTAGAGTTCACATCCATAAGGGAAGTGTATAGCCCTTGTAAAAGCCATGGAAACAGGTAGAGTTCACATCCGTAAGGGAAGGGAAGTAAGGGAAGTATATAGCCCTTGTAAAAGACATGCAAACAGGTAGAGTTCACATCCATAAGGGAAGTGTATAGCCCTTGTAAAAGCCATGGAAACAGGTAGAGTTCACATCCATAAGGGAAGTATATAGCCCTTGTAAAAGACATGCAAACAGGTAGAGTTCACATCCGTAAGGGAAGTATATAGCCCTTGTAAAAGACATGGAAACAGGTAGAGTTCACATCCGTAAGGGAAGTGTATAGCCCTTGTAAAAGACATGCAAACAGGTAGAGTTCACATCCGTAAGGGAAGTGTATAGCCCTTGTAAAAGCCATGGAAACAGGTAGAGTTCACATCCGTAAGGGAAGTGTATAGCCCTTGTAAAAGACATGCAAACAGGTAGAGTTCACATCCGTAAGGGAAGTGTATAGCCCTTGTAAAAAACATGCAAACAGGTAGAGTTCACATCCGGTAGGGAAGTGTATAGCCCTTGTAAAAGACATGCAAACAGGTAGAGTTCACATCCGTAAGGGAAGTGTATAGCCCTTGTAAAACGTAAGGGAGTGTATAGCCCTTGTAAAAGACATGCAAACAGGTAGAGTTCACATCCGTAAGGGAAGTGTATAGCCCTTGTAAAAGCCATGGAAACAGGTAGAGTTCACATCCGTAAGGGAAGTGTATAGCCCTTGTAAATGTCATGGAAACAGGTAGAGTTCACATCCGTAAGGGAAGTATATAGCCCTTGTAAAAGACATGCAAACAGGTAGAGTTCACATCCGTAAGGGGAGTGTATAGCCCTTGTAACAGTCATGGAATCAGGAAGAGTTCACATCCATAAGGGAAGTGTATAGCCCTTGTAAAAGACATGCAAACAGGTAGAGTTCACATCCGTAAGGGAAGTGTATAGCCCTTGTAAAAGCCATGGAAACAGGTAGAGTTCACATCCGTAAGGGAAGTATATAGCCCTTGTAAAAGACATGCAAACAGGTAGAGTTCACATCCGTAAGGGAAGTGTATAGCCCTTGTAAATGTCATGGAAACGGGTAGAGTTCACATCCGTAAGGGAAGTGTATAGCCCTTGTAAAAGTCATGGAAACAGGTAGAGTTCACATCCGTAAGGGAAGTGTATAGCCCTTGTAAAAGACATGCAAACAGGTAGAGTTCACATCCGTAAGGGAAGTGTATAGCCCTTGTAAAAGACATGCAAACAGGTAGAGTTCACATCCATAAGGGAAGTGTATAGCCCTTGTAAAAGACATGCAAACAGGTAGAGTTCACATCCGTAAGGGAAGTGTATAGCCCTTGTAAAAGACATGCAAACAGGTAGAGTTCACATCCGTAAGGGAAGTGTATAGCCCTTGTAAAATCCATGGAAACAGGTAGAGTTCACATCCGTAAGGGAAGTGTATAGCCCTTGTAAAACGTAAGGGAAGTGTATAGCCCTTGTAAATGTCATGGAAACAGGTAGAGTTCACATCCGTAAGGGAAGTATATAGCCCTTGTAAAAGACATGCAAACAGGTAGAGTTCACATCCGTAAGGGGAGTGTATAGCCCTTGTAACAGTCATGGAATCAGGAAGAGTTCACATCCATAAGGGAAGTGTATAGCCCTTGTAAAAGCCATGGAAACAGGTAGAGTTCACATCCATAAGGGAAGTGTATAGCCCTTGTAAAAGACATGCAAACAGGTAGAGTTCACATCCGTAAGGGAAGTGTATAGCCCTTGTAAATGTCATGGAAACAGGTAGAGTTCACATCCATAAGGGAAGTGTATAGCCCTTGTAAAAGACATGCAAACAGGTAGAGTTCACATCCGTAAGGGGAGTGTATAGCCCTTGTAAATGTCATGGAAACGGGTAGAGTTCACATCCGTAAGGGAAGTGTATAGCCCTTGTAACAGTCATGGAAACGGGTAGAGTTAACATTCGTAAGGGAAGTGTATAGCCCTTGTAAAAGACATGCAAACAGGTAGAGTTCACATCCGTAAGGGAAGTGTATAGCCCTTGTAAATGTCATGGAAACGGGTAGAGTTCACATCCGTAAGGGAAGTGTATAGCCCTTGTAACAGTCATGGAAACGGGTAGAGTTCACATCCGTAAGGGAAGTGTATAGCCCTTGTAAAAGACATGCAAACAGGTAGAGTTCACATCCGTAAGGGAAGTGTATAGCCCTTGTAACAGTCATGGAATCAGGTAGAGTTCACATCCCGTAAGGTGAGTGTATAGCCCTTGTGAAAACTAGGTTTTCCTACCATTTCGGTTAGAAAATGTCTGTTAAACTCAATCGTTAATGCAATTCTTTAAGACTCCTTTGATATGTAGGGGTGTAGGGTATTGATATCTCACCCAAGAGGGGTAACAAAATGATGTAAAGCCTGAGGCTTTGCTGAAGGTTTTGCCACATTTTGCGACCTCGAAAAATCCCATCCTACGACCCGAAATATGAAAGGGTATTTTAATGCTATTTCTCATTATGATATAGTGGAAACATCTTCGATCATGCACTACAAAGGACACTATATCATACAAAGGACACTATATTATACCAAGGACACAGGACACTATATTATACAAAGGACACTATATTATACAAAGGACGCCATATTACAAAACAAAACAAAGTATTTAGATACCTGTAGAATTGAGAAACACATAGTACGCTTTTTGACGAAGAAAACCTTTCATTGATAATTCCTTAATTCATTCTGAGTTAACTGAAGTCCATTTACCCCAAATGTAGTACGTGGAGTCATCACAAAATTAGTTCTGTTTAATTACCATCTCGTATACAAATTACCCTGCAACAAACTTACATCCCATTGCTGACATATCTGCATGCATCTTAAACGCGTCATAAGCGCTCGATACATCAACTGTATTTCTGAAAGAAAAAAGATGTTTGATTACATGAAATTAAATTGAGTTTTTGAGTCAGGCATACTTAAACGATTTGACAATATAGCAACCATATAGTCCAGTCATTTTATAGTTTAACATCAAACTAATTGCAACAGATTTTGTTTTCGTTTTATTTATTTTTTTCATAAAGATTGGTATATATATTGTAACAGGAAAAAGTCTCGTCTCCCAAAATCAACCTTCAGCATTTTCACTGGACCAACTTTGAAGTTTAATTCCAATATCTTGTGTAACATTGAACAGGAGAAATTAATTGTACTGCAAATCGATATTCAATACAGGTAAGCTTCAAAATTCAATAGAAATACTGCAATGAAAAATACGAAATCACTAGTATTACTTTAAAACATTGAAACGCCTACCATTCTAGCTTTTGTTGAATTTGTAAGACAAAGTAGTAAATCATTTAACATCAATATAGATACAAATGAAATACCATACGTATATTTAAAAAACGAGGATTTTACTTTCACATAATAGGATTTACGACTGTTTTAAGTTAATCTGTGAGGCTGATTACGCGCTGTCCAAATTTTACAATAATTAAGTTTATGTATGTAAGATTTAAGAAATATCATCAGGTAATGCTGAAAAGTGCGTTACATTATTTTCCATGAAAGTTATCTTCAGCAGAAATGCTATCTTGGTTAAGATATCTGCTTATAATGAATGACGTCATGTTCATAAAAAAAAATTTAATAAAAACGTCTCTTTCCTTCAACAGTATACAATAGGGGTATCAATAATGAAGGTTTAACTTTATATCATAAAAACATTCCTTATATGATTGCTTTACTGTCTACATCTTCTTTAGGACGAAACCTGTTTAAAATATCACGTTTTCTGTTGATCAGAATTGTTTTTAGCGCTGAAACAATATTGCATGAAATGAGTTTTCGCCATTAAAACTTGGACGCATTTGTAAATTCATTATTTCAACATTTCCTGCACATATACAAATGGATACAAAAGAATGGTAAGCATTGGACTGTCTTTTTTCGTATAACAGCTTGCAGAAATAGGTTTATTTTCTATTCAATTTGGACTTATAATAATACCAATTGACCAAATTCGGTGAATAATACCCGATAAACTCGGAGGTATGGTGCGACTAATTTCTGTATCATATGTAGTAAGTGAATGTTTATGTACCATTGATCATGTATCAATATTTGATAACATGTAATGTTTTATGAAGTTAGATATGAAATCACATTATAACTGAGATTAAGAATCAGTATTTTCTACATTTAAATTCGATACAAGTTAACGTAAAGAGTGACATTTTAAAGGAAAAACACATAAACATAAACTCCATCCCACCATTGATAAATTGTTGTAGATCATCATTTTAATTGATGTTTTTGAGTATGCTTTGGCATCATTTGCAAATAAAATTATAATATAATCAATAATTTTTGTTATATAATTCATCATGGGTTAAATACATATGATGGTTACATATAAAAATGGAAAAAAATGCCATCAAGTCATTCTATTTTTTGACGGACCATAGAATACACCCATACCAGAACTCCTCCAACAGCCAAATACAACAAGACAGTGCACCAAACAGACTATTGGCATTCCATACATATGACAACTAACTGCGCCCCTCTGTTTGTTGACTTGTTTTGGTTTTTATAAGAGGCTGAATTTATCGAAGAGCTTATCAAAACCTGTCAAAAAGTCGTTTCATTTTACTGTTAGATATATTGATGTCTTTTAATATCAAGAAATTTATTGATCACGTTAATCGTATATACCCACCAGAATTAAAAATCAAGGACCCGACAGACTCTACTACATCAGCTGCTTATCTCGATGTTTTTCCTACAACGAAACCATGTGGACAACTTTCCACCAAGCTGTATGACAAGCGCAATGATTTCATTTTCCTGATTGTGAATTTTCCTTTTCTGGATAACAACTTACCTGCATCCCCAACCTATAATGTTACATATAACAATTGATTCGATATTCTGTTCCCATTATCACGATTTTCGAGCAAGAATTCGACAACTGACCGACAGCCTCGTAAAAGTTTCAAAAGATGCAGTTTTACGGTCATCATAGTAATCTCATTGAGAAATATTTTTTCTTTGTGTGAACTGATGCTTGTGTTAGATGCTCGTTAATTTGCTTGTTGTTATATATCTTTCTTTTTTATTTGAGAAGGTGACATTACTTTCTTGGGATTTTCATGGTGTCGTCGATGAGGCAGAAAAAGCTTACTTTAAATGAGAACTCAACGCAAAAGGCACCGCTAGAGTGATAGGATAAGTGGACAAAGTTTCAGGTAGTTTTATTGAACGCTATTGACACTTGACTCCCAAAACGATAAAATCTGTAGTATTTCCTGATTCCATGGAAGCAAAAACAAAATTTTGTTTAATTATCCGTAGCAAGAGGCACTACCAGAACGCTTCATAGTTTCCGGTTGTTATCCTGAATGGTTTTGAAGTTGTGCTAATATGCCGTTTCCATGGTAACGGAAAAGGCATTTGAATGAAGAACTTCTCCATAAAAAATGAACTACTCGAGTACTTGGTTGATAATTGTGAAAAATTTGAGTAGTTATCTTGTGCGGAATCAGAGCTCTAGTCCAGAAAAGTTGAAACATGTAAATTTGCTAAATGGAGAATTTCTTCCTAGCAAAAGGTGCTCCAGAAAATGTCCATACATGCGCGGGTAAACGCGCGGAACCCAATTTAAACCCCCTCCCCCCACCGCCTTCCCTACTCCCACCCTTATCCAACCCCAACAACAGTTTCAAGGGGGATATAAAATGCAAATATTGTCAGCTTCAAATAGTCTTTACGTTACCTTGATGTTTCAAGATGTTTTTCAATACAGCACATCTGCTCTAACATTTTGATATTTGCTAAGCTTCAGCTGGTCGTAGTACAGTAATATATTACACTAAAAAAAGAGGCACGATATGTGATTTTTCCTTACTTTCTCATTCCTATAGAATGTGTTTTTTAAAGTTAGATTTCAAACGACAATTTCCTTTATAATACTGATAATCCCTTTCCAAAAACCAAAAAATAACTGCTGCAATTAGTTTGTGGTTATTAATATTTCAAGGAAAATGAATGGACTAAGAGTGGCTTATGAAAACGTACTCTAATTACAGACGGAGTAAGAAGTACCCCAAAAATCCAGAAAACATTATATATACACAAATATACAGAATCTTATGTCACTAGTTCGTCTTTGTGAATATCTTTACAGCAAATATGTAAACCAGCATGTTTTCAGCAAGATGGAAAATCTTACCCAAAGGATTCGAAAGTCGCTCCTCCAAGGCTGGTAGTGGTCGAAGCCTCCTTTCTAGGACTACTTGGAATACTCAATCTAATGTTGCTATCCATCAAATAACATGCTGGGCCACCACGTAAAACGACTTCATTACGTATAACCTTTAATCTGTTATCATTTCTGGGGCTCGTCTTCCGATATCTGAAGCCGAGATCGGAGCATTTCATCTTCCTCCGTCTGGATCTAGGCCGTGATGATGTTTCCTCACCACTTACGTGTTGGTCCAATTTTAACGATGGTGAACTCCTTTTCACACTTAATCCTCGCTTTCTTTTTGACCTTAATTGTTGATTCACGTGATCAACACCGAGTCCATTCTCTCCAAGAACGCGCTCTTTTGTTTCTAAGAGCACATCGGTACTTAGATCAGAACTCGTGGCATTGTTCCGTGGTACTCCGTCTGTACCATTGCTCTTGATTGTTTGGGATGAAGAAAAGACAGTTTGGTGTTTCGTTGTGTCTACTTCTGCAAGTGGATCTACTTCAATTCTGTCTTCGAGAACACAGCCTGATCCAGATTGATGTGGAGAGCTCGTGTCTCTGCGTTCTCCGTTGATATTCGTGGATGTATTTGACTCTGTAGTAAATCTATCTCCTTTATCTCTGGAGCTAATATGTAGATTTGAGTCCATGTTATGTGTCCTTTGGTCGTGGCTTTCGCTCCTTTGTATCTGTCCCTTAAGCTGTAGGTTACCTTCACTATGTTCGTTTTCTACTCTATTCATTTCCTGTTGATCCACTTCATTGGTCAAACCGTGTCGATCTGCTTCATTCGTCGCTCTGGTCTGATGACGATGGCGTTTATTTCTATTTCCGTTCATTACATTCCCCTGTAAGGACTTCGTTTCAAATGACTTACAAAGTTCGTTTAGTTTGTTAAGGGCATCAGTAAGCTTTTCCTCCAATAGTTCCATTTCATTATCGCCGTCTGTAATCCGGTCTTCCAAACGTGTGAAATTACAACTGGTTTCTAAACAAATAACACCATACAAGTTAGTACGCTTCTGTTACAACTAATGTTTCCCTGGTCTGTTCACTGCATGAATTATTTTGGTAACGGTAGGAAAAAAAACAAATAAAATAGAAATTGCTGGTATATTGGACAATTGGACAATTTCAATCTTTTAATATAGCTGTAATACACGGACATTTTATACATACCTTTTAATATTACTGAATATTCCGTTGGGTTGAAATATGTTGTACAAAGCTTAAACATTTCATTTAACAGTTACTGCGTTTTGCAATTCATCTTTGAAATTGAAACTGGTAAGTCACTTTCAGCAATGAACTTCTAAGATGAAATTTACAAATTAAGAAATCTGCTTCTGTCTTACATACTGAATTCACCATTCAAAAACTTAATTTCTTCCTGTTAATATCACCTTATAAAAATAATGGATTATATCATAGTTAACAACTCATCGTATTTTTACCTTGTTTAACTTATAACTCATTAAGAAAAGAGAATCATTTGCCTTTTGTTGTTTCTGTAAACTAAACATAAAAAACCGCTTTATCAAAATATGAAAACCTACCAGTAATCCTTTGCTGAAGGGCTTCGCAGCTTGCGCTACAACATATGTTGGTAATCATTATGTGTAATGATCTGGCAAACCAGCTTCAAGTCACAATCATACAACAGATTGTAAATTCTTAATACTTTACATTGATTATTGTCTTGCCTCACACAAATAATAATTTTTAATACATTTTTATTGAAACAAATCTCAATTATTTTGATAAGTAGCAGAGAGAATGAATAACAGCTTATCTATTAATCAGAAAAGTCATGTTTGAATATTTTAATTCTATTACAATCTTTCGCCTTTTACAATCATGACGACGTCTCAAAAATATACGCTAATGAACAGGTTCAAATGATGTTTGACATTATTATAAGTATCGTATGTAATTACCTATCGTCATGTCTAATGCGGTGTAGGAAAGTCTCATTCTGTTTCTGCAAGGCGCTGGACTCCTTGAGAACATCCTGAAACTGGGAAAAGAATTAAGGGCATGAAGCATCTAGTTTCACATATCATACCATAAAAGTAAGCCCAATACGATATATCGTAAAACTAGTATTACATAATTGTAATAACAAAAAACACCAGCATTGCATTTTATGAAGAAAAAGACACCACTGCAGCGAGTCATTTTGTTACGTAAAGAGGTTGCTAAAATAAAGTTAAATGCTAGTTTTGTATTCCTTATATTAGCCTTTGTATGTGCTAAATTAATGTTACATTCTGTGATAGAACTAAAACCATTAATTTACTCTTTGCATTTAAATAAAGACTCACACGTTGGAGTAGTGGGCCAAGCTCCACTTCAGTAATACATACTAGAGATGATGACTGGTCTGTGACGTTTGTGCCGGATGCATCAGATATAAGGTCTCTAGACGACGTTGGACCATTGATGTTAGGAATGCCTTGTAACAAGCTAGAATCTGAATTTACGAATCCAACACCATCAAACTCAAACTTGCCATTTGAACTGGAATTTAACTCAGTAACGCTCAAGTCTAACACATGTGCAAAATCCTCTTTGGGTCTTGCGCCTTGTTTAGAAAAATCTCTTCCTGAAGTGACTTTTTTAGCACTTTCCTGAGTAGAAGGGTTTGAACATGATATGTTCGCCTCTCGCCTGTGTTGTGTAGATATAGAGGGCTGGTGAATCGGAACGTTGCTCTCTGTTAGTGGCTGTTCTAGATCTGTGTTACTTGGAAATGTCGAGATACTTTCAGTCTGACTCTTAGAGACTTGGTACAAAGAAGCCGAGCCTCTGTCTGAAATATGATTACCCTGGGCGGACGACCGACGTTTGTGTAACCAGGGGATATTTGGCACTGTATCATTATGTAAACTGTCGTTTGATGCTGTCTCTTCGTTCACTTTTTCACCGGTTTTCTTGTTTAGTAGAGGAATATTGGGTTCATTATCAAGTGGATCTCCCATAGTCTGAAACAATTAGTCGCTATAATACTGGATATATTAATTGCTGATTGGGTGACAAGGAGTAGAGAGGATTGATGAAAGGCCGATATTTGATTTAAAATTTCGACATGATTATCGATGTCTAAATATGTTTAATGTGGTTTGCGTATGTTATGCTTGCTTACGTCGTGCATAATAATATTATAAAGAGTGTATAATCATCAGCGACTGAATGTTTGAACACAGGCCAGTGTATGCGAGATAAGGACGTTCATGGAGAGAAACAACTATCCATGTCATAGTTGTATTGTAAGTTAGATTGTACAAAAGACACAGAAGTGAAAAGTATCTTTAAACACAAATTAAGAAATAAAGACAGTAGAGGCAAATAATGATTTAAACTGCATTTTACACCTATTTTGTCTTTCTACGATTCTTCAGTGATGCGAAAGGCCTACATTGTGAAACCTGGGAGGCGACTGTAGACAATCCAAAGTGATCAAAAGAAAAGCCAAAATGACGATGGGGAGGTGCACAAGCACATTTGTACTTATAAACAAAAGTAGAAGATCGTTAAAGGAATCATGGTACAGTTGTATGTTTGCCAGGTATATGTGAAGATTCCATGTATGCACGCGAGCATGTGCCCTTGTCAATGAAGTGTTTGTACAGTGTAACGTTTGTATGCACGATTAAATAAATGACAGAGTGAACTATCTATCTTCAGGAGAAAGATATTTATAATGTTAATATGCGTTTGTTAATAAAATGTTTGCTCCTGGAAGAAGGAGTCTGCACTCAGTCTTCAAAATGGGATCAGCGTTCGAAATTTCAATGCCAAGTACATTAAGTAATTAATAATTATGCACCCTTGCTACCCCTGAATTTACTACAAATTATACTTTACATCTCCTACACTGAAAGTTATCCAGCGTACAAAATAAACAGTACTAACCTCAAAAATTCTACTTTTGTCTTTTTGCATCACAAAAGAAAAGGTCCGAAGGGCTTCATCTCTTCGCCTATCTAAATAACCACTGCGGGACATTATCCAGAGCACCATAACCCAGTGTAAAGAGAAATAATCGTTCTCAAATAAACACTGACTGATTAGGCGAGATTAATAACGAGATCTCCTGTGACAGTGTGCAGCGAAACCACTTGACAGCGCTCTCTTGACTCACGCAGACGTGTTCACTAAGCGTGAGCAGTATCGCAGTATCATTTGTTATTTAGGAGCTGGGAGCAACCGTAGAGGTTCATGTGTGAATGTTGACACGGGATATTTATACAATACAGACACATCGTAATTATTGCCTTGTGATCTGACCTACTGATTACATCCTAGAAACATTAGGTTGAACTGCAAACATGCTTACCTTGTCGACTTAATTTGATTTAATTTTTTTAAAATTGTTGAAGGAAGGACAACTACTCACTATTCAAGACGAGCTAAGAAGTGAAAATATCTCAGATTTCTCAGGTATCTTAAATATTTCAACTTCATATCCAAAACAGTAAAAGACGACCTCTTGGAACTATGTTTAAACATAATATCCCACGTAATTATCTAATCACTTTAAGTCAAGCACTTAAAACTGAATGTGAAAGTAAATGGAAACTACACATTCATAACTTCACTGGGCCTACTCAACGAAATCATGTATACCTGTACAAGTATATAACGTATCTCATGCGACACCGTTCCATGAAAATAATTTGCACACATGAATATTATATTTGAAATGTATCTATTGTATTAAAAACAAATCTTCTGCATATATTCATCTTGTTACTCAGAAGTATGATACGTTTGAAGTCTGCGTTTGTTATCCCATTATCGCCGTGGAAATCGTGAATCAATAAAAGTTAAATAGATTTTCAGCCAAGATATCGCCATACAGCGAAATAACAAAAGCGAAAGTAGACACAAATATTACATTCTGTTAAACATGAAACGAATTTCCCGGATATAAATCACTGAAAGTCATTTAAACAGCTTATGGAATTCAGAAGATATGAACATCACATGCTCTAAGTTATACTACACCAGCTCGAGTTAAAGATGTGTATCACAGTACGTCCGTGTACGGGTCAGCATGGCTGTTATGTATATGACGTGTCACAAGATTTTATTTCAAAGCGTTATGCCATTTGATCACCAAATATATTTCATACTGTCACCGTTTTACAGTTCTGATCCTAACTGTCTAAATATATTGGTGTTTATGAAAGTATAGACAAAACAACTCACCCTCGTCGTACTTGTAATTTGCTTTCATTTTCCACTGAAAATTCCCAATGCTATTTTAAGTCTGTCATTCGGAATCTAGGTTTTGTTCCGAATGATATATCGGCGCGTTCGATTCGATAGCCGGGAAAAAAGTTCCGACTTACACACTGTCTATTGAACAGGTTGATGATATAAAAAATATAACTATTCCCAGTAAGTTACATAGATGTGAAGCCTTGCTTGAATTATATTTTGATTAAGAAATTGATATTTAGTAATAGATTAAGTCAATTTAAGGTTCGTGAAGCGCGTTAAGTTACCGACGGAATAGTTTGATATATAAGAAACCTAGTATCTATTTTCAATTTCTTTGGGTAAATATGTAGATTACAGGTTTCAGAGAAAGCGTAAACTTGATGTTTTACATTCAACACGAATTAAACGTATGATCTCCGAGGTTTTTAAGATTTCTAATGTTACTTTACCTTCTATTTCACAAATTTTTGTTGAAATAAAAGAACTTTTTTAGAATCTTAGATAAGATAAGCAGGTGAAGATTCCAAGGATGAACATCTCTACATATGGGAAGAGATGTTATCGTTTTATGGCTGCCCAGGTGTGGAGGTGTGGAACAGCCCTACAAATGATCTGCTGTTAGATGTAAACTATGGGTCTTATCGTCGACTGGCACGCCCAGGTCTACTCCTGTTCTTTCTACATACACTACATAGTGAGAGTTGTCCCCTCTTGAACCAACCTTGCCAGATCAGCGCGTTGTTAAAGCTATCGCTTTATGATGTCGAGTTTGTCTGGCTACGATACCTTCTTTTGATACACAATACATTTGTGTATATCCTGTCAATATATGTACACTCCGATACTACATTTGCCCTGTCAATTTATGTACACTCCGATACTACATTTGTGTATATCCTGTCAATTTATGTACACTCCGATACTACATTTGTGTATATCCTGTCAATATATGTACACTCCGATACTACATTTGTGTATATCCTGTCAATATATGTACACTCCGATACTACATTTGCCCTGTCAATATATGTACACTCCGATACTACATTTGCCCTGTCAATATATGTACACTCCGATACTACATTTGCCCTGTCAATATATGTACACTCCGATACTACATTTGTCCTGTCAATTTATGTACACTCCGATACTACATTTGTGTATATCCTGTCAATATATGTACACTCCGATACTACATTTGTGTATATCCTGTCAATATATGTACACTCCGATACTACATTTGCCCTGTCAATATATGTACACTCCGATACTACATTTGCCCTGTCAATATATGTACACTCCGATACTACATTTGTGTATATCCTGTCAATATATGTACACTCCGATACTACATTTGTGTATATCCTGTCAATATATGTACACTCCGATACTACATTTGTGTATATCCTGTCAATATATGTACACTCCGATACTACATTTGCCCTGTCAATATATGTACACTCCGATACTACATTTGCCCTGTCAATTTATGTACACTCCGATACTACATTTGCCCTGTCAATATATGTACACTCCGATACTACATTTGCCCTGTCAATTTATGTACACTCCGATACTACATTTGCCCTGTCAATATATGTACACTCCGATACTACATTTGCCCTGTCAATTTATGTACACTCCGATACTACATTTGTGTATATCCTGTCAATATATGTACACTCCGATACTACATTTGTCCTGTCAATATATGTACACTCCGATACTACATTTGCCCTGTCAATTTATGTACACTCCGATACTACATTTGTGTATATCCTGTCAATATATGTACACTCCGATACAACATTTGTGTATATCCAGTCAATATATGTACACTCCGATACTACATTTGTGTATATCCTGTCAATTTATGTACACTCCGATACTACATTTGTGTATATCCTGTCAATATATGTACACTCCGATACTACATTTGCCCTGTCAATTTATGTACACTCCGATACTACATTTGCCCTGTCAATATATGTACACTCCGATACTACATTTGCCCTGTCAATTTATGTACACTCCGATACTATATTTGTGTATATCCTGTCAATATATGTACACTCCGATACTACATTTGTCCTGTCAATATATGTACACTCCGATACTACATTTGCCCTGTCAATTTATGTACACTCCGATACTACATTTGTGTATATCCTGTCAATATATGTACACTCCGATACTACATTTGTGTATATCCTGTCAATATGTACACTCCGATACTACATTTGTGTATATCCTGTCAATTTATGTACACTCCGATACTACATTTGTGTATATCCTGTCAATATATGTACACTCCGATACTACATTTGTGTATATCCTGTCAATATATGTTCACTCCGATACTACATTTGTCCTGTCAATATATGTACACTCCGATATTACTTTTGTGTATATCCTGTCAATATGTACATTTGTGTGATATACAACCCTTATGTTTCAGGATTGAAAATTGACTTAAACAAAAATGATTCGATAGTTATTGCAGCTGCTCTAATGACATATACTGTGATGAATTGGAGATTTACACTTATATTTGTCGTACCAACAGCACCACAGTGTTAGTAACGTGAAGAAGTCGCTGAAGTCACTAATACGAAAGTATTTCTGATCACTCCATCAATGATTACACTAAACCATAGCTATTAGCTATGTCGAGTAAGTATGTATCAACCCGGGGGGGGGGGATTGTTACATTGTATTGATAAAAGATACGTGCTTACAGGGATTGCGACATGTGTGTTTCTGTTCTCTTCAAAAGAGTTCTATCGGTAAGTAGATCGTTGGACGAATAACTTGATTTCTAGCTGAAACCAAAACTACTGAAATGCTGGCAAAATTAAGGGAATCCTTATACGTATGACAGTACGTTTTAGGTTTGTTTACAAATAGTGACTCTACACTCTGACGTATTGAAGCCGATTAAGCAAGATGTATATTTTTAAATGGATACATTTTCCTCTCAATTTCTACAACATGACTAGCCACCTAGCGAGAGTATGCATGAATACAATAATCGTAACGTATGTATGACAAGCATGTGTCATATCGGTCCTAAATAAACTGACACCAAAATGTATGTATGACAAGCATGTGTCATATCGGTCCTAAATAAACTGACACCAAAATGTATGCGACAAAATACGTTTAGATACAATGTAGTTCATAACCTTTCGTGTTAGTAAAGTAAAGATAGTGTACTTAATGGGTGACTTCTTTGGCGATAAATGGAAAATGGTCACCTCATGGTCAAAGCATGTAATTCTAAAAACTTAAATATGCATCAGAGTCGAAGTGGGAGCAGCTGAGAGAAACCTCTCTGATAACCTCCTACACAATGTTTGAACATTAGGATGTACATAGATGTTCCTAAACTGCACGTGTCACAGCCCCTGTGGGTCTTCCATTTATCTAAACTGACGTATATATCGTATTCCAATACATCATCACTTGCATCCTCAGACAATGCAGCAGTTGTCGAATCTAGTGACTATAAGTCAGTATAAGTGTTAAAAGGCATTGACGCAATATGAGTACGAAACGGTTAATTTGTAAAGTCGTGACGATTGCCATACTGGTGTTGTTGCTAGGGAAACCGGATCTGTCATCGGCAGCTCTCTGTAAGGATGTCCTGTATTTAGAGGAATGTGACACGTGGCTATCTGGGTAAGTAATAAACTATAAAAAAAAAGTAACAAAAGAGAGTTACATCACATAACGGACTAGAGACGTAGGGTACATTTCGAGATTACTTTTAATTCATAATACAGATAGGTAGATTACTGTCTGGATAAGTGATGCGTTATGGTGTTAACCTTTCCACTTTTCTTCAGTTTTCTCCTTGCCTATAATAGCATATCAATTATCAATATAAAGTAGAGAGCAATAACGTGTGAATCTGGGGAACAAGTCACTTAATATCGAATCAAATGCGATATGTAAACACTGTAGATTGAGGAAGCGGGCATGTTACCATCTAGAAGCTGCGGTATTAGAACTAACAATAAATAAATAAGAAAAATATATATTGTAAATATCAACTAGTCGTTTATTTGACTCAAATTATACATTCTTTGTTTCTTGTTCAATTACATTTCATTTCTCGAGTGCCCAGTTCTGTTCATCAAGTAACAATCCAAAAGTCCACTTGCTTTTTCTTCACTTAGCTTCAATTCACGGCACCATCTACTTGCTGTGGTATTAAAGAATTTCACAAATATGGCTGTATGAATGAGTGTAGGTTTTGTTGTCAGTAACTTATCCTTGAAGCGTAACTCTAGTATTTCTGTCAATCCGAAGCCATATTACAAGTGACCTCGATCTTTTACAAATAAACATATAGGTACGACTTTCAGCCAACTGTATGATAAAAGAGATGATTTATATCTTCCTATTGTGAACTTTCCATTTCTTGATAATAGCATTCCTGCTTCCCAATCGATGATGTTTAAATATCACAGTCCATTCGATATTCATTAACTTTTTCCAATAACATCGATCCCCGTGAAAGTTGTCGATAACTGACAGATGCGCCATAAATCACACAGGTTTACGAGAGGAGCAGGTTGATGAAGACATTATGAAAGATTTACGGTTAAGTACATTCTCAAAGTTAAGAATTGAAAATGGTTCAAGAATCTTCGTGATACACATTTTGTTGCTCAGATATTCTCAAAGTTACGCATATTCTCAATGTTAAGCAATGAGAACAAAATTAAGAAGTTTCGAGATTCCGGGACCAGATTTTTAAATACGTTTCAACTTTTAAAGCAATTCACGAACTTGCTTGATTCCAGTCGGAATCTCTCATCAATGGATAAATAAACGTGCTATTTTTAGGCGATATTATCACATTTTACACGTTACAGAAGTGGTATCATACTGTTGGAACCTATCTGTAGTAATGGTACTATCCACTGGCATAATTGTCAACACAACAACATCACGCTCAACATGCAAAAGCAAGAAATGTTCCGGATGTGCTTTTTATTGGACAAAATTCCATACAACATCATAGACATGACAAACAGCCGCAATGTTCCGAAAAAACCTCCAAAGAAAGGTTAGTGAACGATAAGATATTTCGACATTAATGTACTGATAAGTGTATTTGTGGTGTACTCACAGAAAGTGTATTTGTGGTGTACTCACAGAAAGTGTATTTGTGGTGTACTCACACATCGTGTATTTGTGGTGTACTCACAACACGTGTATTTGTGGTGTACTCACAGATCGTGTATTTGTGGTGTACTCACAGAAAGTGTATTTGTGGTGTACTCACAGAAAGTGTATTTGTGGTGTACTCACAACACGTGTATTTGTGGTGTACTCACAGAAAGTGTATTTGTGGTGTACTCACAGAAAGTGTATTTGTGGTGTACTCACAACACTTGTATTTGTGGTGTACTCACTGAAAGTGTATTTGTGGTGTACTCACATAAAGTGTATTTGTGGTGTACTCATAACACGTGTATTTGTGGTGTACTCTCAACACGTGTATTTGTGGTGTACTCACAGAAAGTGTATTTGTGGTGTACTCACAGATCGTGTATTTGTGGTGTACTCACAGATCGTGCATTTGTGGTGTACTCACAGAAAGTGTATTTGTGGTGTACTCACAGAAAATGTATTTGTGGTGTACTCACAGAAAGTGTATTTGTAACTAATTTTTTTGAATTGTGTTTCAGTCTATAATAATATGTACATTGTAAATATTACATAATTACATACCGATGCCCAAAATCTCTTATGGCATCGAAAAGTATCATTGAAAAGATAGGGAACCATCAGAAATATATGTCACATATTTTTGAAGGGACATCTGAATAGCGGTACACTATTAGTACCGTTGTCCTCAATCATGTGATTCTCTCTCTTTACAGATAAACCGAGCTGTGTGTTGTCCCGGCGAACCAACAACAAAAAGGAATCATTGGAACTGAGATTCAAACCATCTTCGCGAGGGTCACAGTTCCTCACCAATATCCCATTCACTGTCGAGAGAGTCTCTTTGCCAAAGCTCCCGTATGGTTAAGGATTCATTTCGTTGTAGCTGAATAGCCGACCACACTAATAAATTTCATGTAAATGTATAATTGGTTTTTATGTTTTTATCAACCATGTTAACCTTATCAACAAGACTGGTTATGACAAATAAATGGAAACTCATGACAGAACGAAAATGGTTTTTCAAGACGACAATACTAGCCTGGGCCGATAATTTTCACATTAGTCATGGACATCCTTTAGCAATAAAAGAGGAGTGATTATTCCTTGGCGAAGAGAGAGAAGTGGGTATTCCTTGACGATAAGACAGGCGCGGACTTATCTTGACAACGAGACAGAAGAGGGTATTCCTTGACAAAGAAACATGTGTGGGCATCCCTTGACAATGAGACAGGAGCAAGTATCCTTTGACGATGAGACAGGAGCCAGTATCCCTTGACAAGGAGACAGGAGCAAGTATGCCGTGACAAGGAGACAGGAACAAGTATCCCTTGACGATGAGACAGGAGCAAGTATCCCTTGACAAGGAGAAAGGAGTTGATATACCTTGACAAGGAGACAGGAGCAAGTATCATTTGACGAAGAGACAGGAGCAAGTATATTTTGAAAAGGAGATTGGAGTTGATATTTGTCGATAATGAGAGGAATGGATATTTGTCGATAATGAGAGGAGTGAGTATTTGTCAATAATGGGGTAAGAGTGAGTATTTGTCGATAATGAGATAGGAATGGGTATTTGTCGATAATGAGATAGGAATAGGTATTTGTCGATAATGAGATAGAAGTGGATATTTGTCTATAATGAGATAGGAGTGGATATTTGTCTATAATCAGATAGGAATGGGTATTTGTCGATAATGAGATAGGAATGGGTATTTGTCGATAATGAGATAGGAATGGGTATTTGTCGTAATGAGATAGGAATGGGTATCTGTCGATAATGAGATAGGAATGGGTATTTGTCGATAATGAGATAGGAGTAGGTATTCCCCGATGGAATAAGAGTGGGCGTTGCTTGACAATGGGTATTCTCTGAAAACAAGACAGCAGTCAGCATCATTTGACAACCGAACGAGAACTAAAAAAGAATATCATTAACAAAATTCAATCGTCTAAATTGAACATTCCTTCCAGCATTGTATAAGTTTACAATCTATCGATCTGGGAATAGTCTAGATAATCAATACGGTATTGATTTTTGTTTTAGTGTTTTTAAGGAACACATTTTAATATTCATATTCAGTGTACAACATATATCATTTATATTATCTTGTTTTAAATCATTAATTAAAACAAATATTATTGTCTATTTCACATGAAATAACTGACCGAAATAATCACCGAGAACTATCGATAAAGGAGCTGCCCTTCGCTGACCTAACGATTCACAATTGTAAGGCTTCGGCGTTTACTGTTGGTCTGTCTGTTTATTAAATGTTTTGTATATATTGTACCTAGGATATTGACTATGGCAACAAAATAAATATATCATTCAAGACAGACATGGGTTATTCGGTATTTACATTTCTTCTATTGCCGGTTCATGTGCAATTCAAATGCCAACAGAAGTTAGTGGTTGACTTACTAGACTGAATAGAAGGCTAAAAACTATAACATTCTAAATTTTCAACTTTTTATACATTGAATTAGCTTTTATTCACCATGTAAAAATCAAGTCGAGTTATATCAAGTGAGAAATAAAACTGCATCAGATAAGAGAAACAGGGGGTGCTGAATTGGAGGAAGACATATTAGGACCAACTGGTAGTTCATCACTGCTGTCAAGGTACTTTAGTAGGAAACTCAAAAACTGGTTTTCAACTTTAATAAGTTTAAAAGCTAAATTTCCATATTCATCAATTCAAAAGTATTCTGTATGATAAAGACACAATAAGTATCATAAAGAAATGTTAACGACTTTGTTTGGAGGGTTTAGTGATGCAATGAAACATGGTAATGTTTAGACTTTGTGATACCGGTACGTTGTACTTATTTCCTCTGTAGACATTGTGATACCGGTACGTTGTACTTATTTCCTCTGTAGCCTTTGTGTTACCGGTACGTTGTACTTATTTCCTCTATAGACATTGTGATACCGGTACGTTGTACTTATTTCCTCTGAAGACTTTGTGATACCGGTACGTTGTACTTATTTCCTCTATAGACTTTGTAATACCGCTACGTTGTACTTATTTCCTCTATAGACTTTGTAATACCTGTACGCTGTACTTTATTTCCTCTATAGACTTTGTGATACCGGTACGTTGTACTTATTTCCTCTGTAGACTTTGTGATACCGGTACGTTGTACTTTTTTCCTTTGTAGACTTTGTGATACCGGTACGTTGTACTTATTTCCTCTGTAGACATTGTGATACCGGTGCGTTGTACTTATTTCCTCTGTAGACTTTTTGATACCGGTACGTTGTACTTATTTCCTCTGTAGACATTGTGATACCGGTATTTCCTTTGTAGACTTTGTGATACCGGTACGTTGTACTTATTTCCTCTGTAGACATTGTGATACCGGTACGTTGTACTTATTTCCTCTATAGACATTGTGATACCGGTACGTTGTACTTATTTCCTCTTTAGACTTTGTGATACCGGTACGTTGTACTTATTTCCTCTATAGACATTGTGATACCGGTACGTAGTACTTATTTCCTCTATAGACTTTGTGATACCGGTACGTTGTACTTATTTCCTCTGTAGATTTTGTGATACCGGTACGTTGTACTTATTTCCTCTTTAGACTTTGTGATACCGGTACGTTGTACTTATTTCCTCTATAGACATTGTGATACCGGTACGTTGTACTTATTTCCTCTGTAGATTTTGTGATACCGGTACGTTGTACTTATTTCCTTGATAGACATTGTGATACCGGTACGTTGTACTTATTTGCTCTGTAGACATTGTGATACCGGTACGTTGTACTTATTTCCTCTTTAGACTTTGTGATACCGGTACGTTGTACTTATTTCCCCTTTAGACTTTGTGATACCGGTACGTTGTACTTATTTCCTCTTTAGACTTTGTGATACCGGTACGTTGTACTTATTTCCTCTATAGACATTGTGATACCGGTACGTTGTACTTATTTCCTCTGTAGATTTTGTGATACCGCTACGTTGTACTTATTTCATTAATAGACTTGATATGCAAGAGCATTTATTTCTTCGCGATGACGATAATTTTGGGTCATACAGGCATACCTAGTACCTAGGATGACGTCAGTTTTGAATCGTTCAAGTATATCTAGATCCTTTGGTGACGTCAGTATATAGGTGTATACATGTATCTACCCTAGTGTGACGTCAGTGCAAAACTGCATCTAATTTTAACGTATGACATCAGCGGTGTGCTTTACATATACATGTCTAAGTGTCATGTAAGCTTTTGGGTGCATATACCCTTCTGTTACGTCACATTCCTTAAGGTACCCGGACCTATGTGATAATGACCTTCATGTCATGCTCTATCTAAAAGTAATAAAAGATTGTGTTAGTAAGTATTACACAGGTGATAATTAAGTAAACAGTGACTTTCATGGTGCATGTAAAATGCATATTTAAAATGTCGTATTTTAAAACGATTTTCTAACTTATTATCGTCGCTGCATTTTTGATAAATTATACCCTTCTTTAAAAATTGAAAAGACGATATCGCGTGTGAATATAAAGGTCGTTGGTGACAGGTGGACAATACTATACCTATCTAATCAACCTATCTATACACGTCGTTCTAAACATTCACCTGTCTGTTACCTAACAATTTCGCAGGACTGGAAACGAGAGGATAGAAGGAACGTGAAGGCGGATATGGAAGTTAACGTGTCCATTGTCAGGTAAATATACACTAACCGTTGTATTACAGCTGACAACACATTACATAGTGTCCGAGAGTTTTGCGAATCCCTTTTGTTTTATAATGTTTGACTGCTCTTGAGTGAAATTGCTTTGTCATGAGCACAAAAATTGAACAAAATAAATCCATAACGATCAAATAATCCAGGTTTAATTGCAAAAGAAGTGATTATTGACAAAGTAATTATAGCGATAAATATATGCGATCATGAGTGAGTATATAGAATGTGTGACAATGGAACCATTCGGAATGCTATACATATCGTCATGGTCCAGTGAATGTAATGTTAAGGCTCTGTTTACTTACAAACCTATGAATGACATACTAAACACCCTCCCCCACCTAACCTACTCTCTAATCCCTATTACAGAGCTAGCGGCTGTGTGTTATTTACCATCACGAGACCTAAGTATGTGTACATAAACACACTATTACTTGTGAAACAATTCACATAATATTAAACCTATGAATGGGAAGTTCTCCAGTGTATTACGAAGGACACTCATGCTGTTCTCTATTGTTGAATTCCAATACTTGTAAATAATTTGGAAAGTGTTTCGAATACACCTAGCAAAACATCATGCAGAAAAATGGACATTATCAGAAAGAACTTTGTATAGTTGGTGTCAAATGAGTACAAATCACGTATGAGCATGTCAGCTAGACTTTATGTTTAGTTTCAGATCAGTGTAATAAGAGGAATACCTGGCATACGAGAAAATTCATACTTCTCTAAAGCCAGTGAAATACTAGAATGGTGACAAATGTTCACTTAAAGAGCCCCCTTACAAAAATAATCACTGTTTACAGGTAGATAATAAGACTGTAGTTTATTCATCAGTTCTGTTCGGTGCAGATTACAGATACCTGTACATCCCGATAATTGTATCTGAAGAGAAACAATTTAAGATATAGGTTTAAGATACATAAAATGTATGGGAGCCAATTCTGGCATCAAATCCAAGGTTTACCAAGAATTCAAAGGTATCTGATGAATTGATAGCTTTCCTAAGATGTTGATTAAGACATCACATGCCTGACTGCATGTTTTAACAGTAGTAAATGGAACAGATCTGTAGGCATAAATTTCATAATCCGTTTATCAAGAAACCTTTGTAGGGAAGTTAAAACTTCTCAAATTTACACCTAAAAAATTTAA